CAATGCCTTTAATTGGGCAGTTCTAATTGGTCAGAAACTAAATGAGCTTAGAATTTATACGCACCTTATCACCGAATTTACTCCAACGATACTTCCAGACAACTGATTAGGTTGCTCACTACAAAAATTTGCTTTAGAAATTTATGCCGAATATCTAACCCAATACGACATTACTGAAGACTGACATTACACGAACTGGTCACTGGGTTGAATATCACTAATGGATGATAAAATTAATTTTCTTCTTTAGTCTTCAATCTTGAGTAATAACAGTAGTAGGTCTGTAGACTTATAGTAGTCCTTGCAGTTTGTTTATCGATGAAGGTTCAGATTCTTGAAATGTTCACTAAAGTGGTTGGTACTGTAGCGTGGTGTCGAGTTGAGCTTGACTATGAACACCGCTACCAGACTACGTGCCAATAGACCAATAAGATTCCGGTAGGCCAAAAATCAGAAGGCAGATGTTGGCTGTAGTCGAGATGTATTTGTTGGCGATCTCGTGGTATCGAAAGAATACCGAGATCGTGCCAAAGGAGTACAAGCGTGGTTACTGAGCGTAACCGAATTCGTACAAGTTCAAAGTCAACGGGAGAGTAAGTATAATGGCTGTCATTAGCACAGTTAAACAAACGAGCACAGTAAAACAGTCACTGGTACAATTGGTTATAATAATAATTGTTTTCATTGAACCAATCGCGTTCTGTAGACAAAAGTAGGTCACTACAGCAGCCCCCCGCTAGAAAGGATTTACACTTTCGATAATTAGCGGTTTGATTCGTGGGACTGATCGGAAGAAGTGCGGTTGTAGGACGGAGGAAATTGGCGGAACAGGAAGAGATCGTTGATCCCCGAGTTGCTAACGAAAGTCTTTTCCGCAGAACGGTACCAGGAGAAGTGTGCTGTATTTGTTGGTCGAATTGGCATACCACACCAGAGTGGTTTGTATCCAGGATCTGATGATTGCGTTCGTAGGGATGTGGACCAGAAAACGCTGCAGACGTAGGACGAAACCACGTTGAGCCAAGAAACTGGAAGCGACCTTAAAGACCAAGCGTATGCCAGGCTAATTCGAGACCAGATAATCGACTGAGTGCGATGACTAGAGCGTGGGTGGCCAAACCAGCTTTCGCCAAAGTTGACTGAAGTCGACGTTATCAAACGGACGATGTTCGGAGACGTGGGCTCAGGATACAGAAAAAAATAAAAAAAAGAAAAGTGTAGCATGCGTGTATTATAGGAATAATCCTACACCGTATCCGTTATTGACTGTGCTGGTTTGAGACGATCAATGCTGACGATCTCGACGCGGCCATGTCGATCAACCTTGAAGGTCTTTTTGTGACGAGAGATCACGTGAAAAGGGCCTTCGTAAGGCTGTTGTAGTGGTTTAAGTACCAAATCTACTCGTATGAAAACATGTGAACAGGTAGATAACTCTCAAGGGAGAGCGACCTGTCGATGTTGTATTCGAGTTGACACCGGAGACAGCGTTCGCATAAATGCAGACAGTCGATGGACGTAGTCTGATTTACCGAAATCGTTACTGCTCCTTTGTGCAAAGAATTCCCCAAGCAGACGCAATGTCGTGCCGTATACAAGTTCAGCGGCGGAACATTGGATATCTGCCTTCAAACTCGTTCTGATGCCTAAGAGAACGAGCGGTAAGGTTTCGTACCAATTGTCGTTTTCGTGTGCTCGAAGAGCACTTTTAAGTTGTCGATGAAACCTTTCGACTAAACCATTCGATGCTGGATGGTAGGTGGTAGTGCGTATGCGTTCCGTACCAAGCAGCCTGGTCAGTGAGGAGAATAATATGGACTCAAATTGTTGTCCTCGGTCAGTCGTGACAGTCGAGGGACAACCGTACAATGCTATCCATCGTTCTACGAAGCGGTGAGCAACTGTCTCCGCCGTGATAGACGTGATGGGAATAGGTTCGGGCCATCTTGTAGAACGGTCAATGCACGTGAGTATGTGATCATACCCATGCGATGGTGGCAATGGTCCTACAATGTCTATATGAACGTGATCAAAGCGAGCATCAGGCGTAGCGAACGTGTCAATGGAGGCAGCTACGTGCCTGTGCACTTTTGATCGTTGACACTGTAAGCACTGCTTTACCCACATACGAATCGTGCAGCGATGAGACGTAATGTAGCCGCGATACCTGGATGAGACAATCCATGAAGGGCATCGAAGACGAGACAGCGATAGGCAGAGGGTACGATGGGTCGAGGAAGACCCGTAGAAATATCACATAGGATAGTACCTGAGCTAGTAGCTAGGGGTACTTCCTGACACTGAAGGGACGAAGATTGTGGTGCTTCTGTACAGACAGGATCGTTTGCTTGCGCGGCGGCCATAGCAGGAAGATCGAGCACCGGTAAAGTAACTGCATTCGTCTGGATACGTGATAGAGTATCGGCAACATAGTTTGACTTGTTTTTAATGTGACGAAGGTCTGTCGTGAACTGGGAGATATAGTCCAAATGTCTGCACTCTCGTGGTGAGTAGCGGTCAGACTTGGTATGCAGGGATTACGTTAAGGACTTATGGTCGGTGAATAAAATGAATTGGCGTCCTTCTACTGTGTGCCGGAAATGTTTGATGGCGCAGTAGGCTGCAAGTAGCTCGCGACCAAAAGCGCTATATCTCGTCTCCGTGGGAGTAAGGCGTCGTGAGAAAAATTCAAGCGGTTGCCAACTACCGGAGATATTCTGTTGCATAACGGCTTCTATAGCGAAATCTGATGCATCAACCGCTATACAAAGCGTGGCTGATGGGTCAGGATGAGCAAGGAGTGTAACTTCAGCGAGAGCCGTTTTGATCTCTGAGAATGCAGTACGTGCGGTATCGTTCAATTCTAATTTGCGTGGATTACCGCGTAGTAAATCGGTTAGTGGTCATAAACGTTCTGCCGCGTGAGGGATGAAACGTCGGTAGAAGTTAACCAACTCGAGAAAAGCCTTCAGTTCCTTCATTGAGGACGGCACGTTGTACTCCTTGATTGCTCGAATTTTGTCCTCGCATGGCAGAATACCCTCTTGTCTGATGATGTGACCCAGAAATATTATTTCTGATTTACCCAATTCACATTTCTCTGGGTTGACTACTATTCCATTATCCGAAAGACGTTGGAATAATAGCGTAAGATGTTGATAATGTTCATCTACGTTTGATGATGCGATCAGCAGGTCATCAATATAGACGTGAACAAAATCCAAGTCTCGTACTATGCTATCGATAAACCTTTGGAAAGTTTGAGCAGCATTCCGTAATCCAAATGGCATTCGTAGGAACTCAAACAGACCGAACGGAGTCGTGATAGCAGTTTTTCGATGTCTTCAAGAGCGACTGGGATCTGGTGATATGCTCGTACCAGAACGATTTTAGAAAAGATAGTCGTGCCCTTGAGCGATGCCGTGATGTCGTGTATGTGGGGGATGGGGTAGCTATCAAAGCGCGTAACTACGTTTAATGCTCGGTAGTCGCCGCAAGGTCTCCAACTAATCCCATCCTTTTTGCGCACCATGTGTAAAGGAGAGGCGCAAGGACTGTGAGAAGGACGAATAATACCAGCAGATAGTAAATTGTCAAACTCACGTTTAGCGAAGGCTAATTTGTCCGGTGCCAGTCGGCGTGGTCTTGCCGTGACTGGTGGTCCGCGGGTGACTATGTGGTGTACCACACGATTGATCACCGATGAAATCTCGAGTGGTTTAGTTATTCTGGGGAATTTCTCGAATAAAGCGTGGAATTTATCGTCACGCGAATAAATAGTTCCGAGGATTCGGTACTCGTACATCGGAGTCTATTATATTAATACTATTCTCATCGTTATCCGTCATGTCAAATATATATATTAAAAATTAATATGAAAATATATGACAGACGTGGATAGATAAAACAATAGACTCACCGAATTGCCTTCTTTGGAAGATTTGACCGAGGTTGAGACGTGTTCCAAGATTTGGCTCACTAAATGTAGCGTGGGTGGCCAGTTGAGCTTGACTATGAACACCGCTACCAGACTACGTGCCAATAGACCAATAAGATTCCGGTAGGCCAAAAATCAGAAGGCAGATGTTGGCTGTAGTCGAGATGTATTTGTTGGCGATCTCGTGGTATCGAAAGAATACCGAGATCGTGCCAAAGGAGTACAAGCGTGGTTACTGAGCGTAACCGAATTCGTACAAGTTCAAAGTCAACGGGAGAGTAAGTATAATGGCTGTCATTAGCACAGTTAAACAAACGAGCACAGTAAAACAGTCACTGGTACAATTGGTTATAATAATAATTGTTTTCATTGAACCAATCGCGTTCTGTAGACAAAAGTAGGTCACTACAGTACCACTTGTTTGGATAGGGTGTTTCATAATTTACTGCTCGGTGAGAAAAATGGGACTTTACTTAGAGTTTACGAGATCGTGGTTTCTAAACCTTCCTGCTATGGCCTTCAAGATGATTAGTTCTGAAAGAAGCAAAAAGATAAGTTACATTAACACCCAAATCGTTATTAAAGATACATAATGCTGATATGAGGTCACCTCGCGCCCTACGATACGATAAGGGAAAAGGGTCTAGGCGTTTCAAGCGGTTATTGTAAGGGATTTTGGAATGATTCTTTGCTAACTTTATTCCTGCACGCTTAACGCGCTCGAGCGTGTATCATTAATTAAGACATGAACTGACTGTTTCAACACAGTATTCTAGGTGTGGTTTACATAAATTTGATACATAAATCCGTAAAATATTCTCGTCAAAGCATGTGAATCCTCGACGAAGTGATCACAACGCTTGAAAACCTTTGGCGGCTGCTGCGTTGCAATGGGCAGTTGTTTTCAAGTCTCATCAGTTAGGTTAACTAAGATCAAGACCAAAAGAGACTAAAAATCTTTTAATAACACGTCATTGTCAAGGAATAGTAAAGCACTTAAGCAAACATGGTAATGAATAACGTTGGACTAAAATGACAATATTGAAAATTGGATTAGATAAACAGTGGTGAAAGGCGGGGGAGCCAGTTTCGCTCTCACAGATGACGGGCAAATCTGATGATAGAGTGAACCCGGGTAAGTTTAAGCTATGCTATGTCACAACCTTATATCATTTATTATGTATCCAGATGGTAGGTGAGCGTCCCTTTTACTGCATTCCGTGAACTACACACACAGTTCTTTTCAGACCTCGAGTCAATTATCTAAGTGGTCAAAAAGTAAAAAGATGGACTGCTACTAGTAATCATTGAGATATTTGTTCAAAGAATGACATAAATACATTAATTTTGTCTCCAAAATAGCTTCGATTAGATTCATTTGTCTGCGTCCTTTAAAATTAACCCAAGAAATACTTTAAATTGTACTTTTCGTCTTATGTATAAAGTAATCGACCTCGAATTATTCTACTAACTATTTTCATGTCGTTTTTATTGATCTTCATTGTGTGCTTTGTCACTTAACAACTCACCACAACGACGATCGCTAAAAGCTGTTACAGTTAAAATTATCCTTTTCTAAAATACATATATGTGCGCGAAAAATGTTCAGTTCGTACATAAGTTTTTGTAAAAAGTCATGGTAAAAATTCATTGTAAAAAACACTCTGTTCAGGTCATCAAAGGTGATGGATTTGACGATGTGGTATGAAGTAGTTTGACTCATTTACTAATAGAACCGTGTTAGTCGACCACCTCCTGCTTTATTTCAGATCCGAAAAGTTTATGTTTTCCTCTAAACGCCACTCGTGCAAGTAAGAATTGTGAACATCTGTTAATAAATGCCTAAGTTAAATGAATAGAAATAAGCCATATTGCACACCCTTTCTATTATCTGTTTCGCTTTAATATAAGTTTCATTATCTCATATTTTGTCATACCGCCTCTATGCTTTTATATCATATTTCTGTCTTTTACTATTGCTACTACATCGTTTATACCAGTTTCGTCTCTGCTTAAGTGCATCGTGGAAAGTGCAAGCTGTTTCTGCTTGTCCACGGAGTCATAAAACTGAATTTGCATTATAATCACTAGTAATAGTCTGGTCCAGCGACCAGTTACTGCTTAAGCACTGGTCTCTTCATGTTATATTCGTGGGAGTCTGGTGAATCTAACGTACAGTTTACTTTTGATAATACCACATGTTCCGGTTTCTGTGACTATTTAGACATAATGTAGCACTGGAAAGTGTTTTTTCTACCTCGCGTTTACTAGAATCGACCGTTAGACTTAAATGACATTAAATCTTACTGGTCATTCAACTTTGTTTTAGAAACATTTCGTTCGATAAAATCATAATCAGCAACGTTCGAGTTGGTAAAAGTATTTTCACTAATGAAATAAAGTTAATCCATCGGATGAATCAGAGCCGATTAAAGTAGGTCCAGTGTTACTCTTCCATCTTGTACTCCAACATTGGTTAGGTGTATGTAGATTCCAAAAAGCCAGAGTGTAAGCATACTGAGTAAAGATTCCAACTGCCATTCTGAACAGTGTAAGGAAGTAACTGTTTAATGACTAGGCTCTAAAAATGCTAAAATTTGGTGTTTGACAATCCTCCATGATATGACTCAAAATTATTCGATTTCCTTGTCTCCGTTTTTTGACCATCCTGTTTCGCATTGCTTATCTCCTATGTGTTTAGTTGTGCAATGTCACCCGTCTCTGACTTTCGCTTCTTTTCGTTGGAAGATGTGACTAATGCGAAGTTATGGTTTTTCTTGACATCCGGACTTACATTTAAGCACACATAAAATAATGGTAGATCCTCATACACCCAGTGAATTGGTGTAAAACAGTGTATCAACAGTACTAAAATAGTCAGTCAGTAACAACGTGGAACTTCATACGTACGTACGTACATCAGTTCGAGTTGCCATACCACATTAGCACAGAGATTCAGTTATCAATTCAAATCCCATAGTCGTAGGGGTACTGAAAGTATAAGTAGAGATAGGGGACATTAAGGTTTAATGATGTTATTAAAAGAGTATAGTCCAGTGGAATAAATTGGGAAAGAAAATAAAGGAGATGAAGAATTCAGAAGATTAGAGTTTGAGAGAACACAAAGAGTGGATGCACCTGCGCCATTGCAAACGATTTTGAGCCATGTCATTCAAGGTCTCTAACCATCGGTTGCTATCGTCTCGCGGTCCCCAACCAGGTAGTCTACACCTACCAACATGACTCAGTCCACTTGTCAGTGACTTCATGGATTTGTGCCATGTTTTGGTCTGGCCGCCCCTAGCTTTCTTCCAACCTACTCATACACCATAAAACATAGCATGTCGGGGCAGTCGGTGGTCGGGCATGCGCAACACATGTCCCAGCCATCTCAACTGATTAAGTTTCACTACTTCCTCAATTGATTTGCCATCCTTACCTAGTACCCGTTTCCTAACAACTGCATTACTTACTCGGTGGTCCCAGGATATACGAGCGATGTTTCGAAGACACCTATGGTCAAATACTAGTAACCTACGAATATCCTCTACTCTTACTGGCCATGTTTCACTGCCATAAAGTAGGACGGAACGAACTGCTGCGCAGTAAACACGTCCTTTGGTTGATAGACGGATATCTCGCCTACGCCACAAATGACGCAAGTTGGCAAAAGCTAGTCGAGCCTTTTGTACCCGTGCTGAGATTTCGTCACACCAAACCACAAGGGCTGATGAGACTTCCGAGATAAGTGAAGCGGTCGACACGCTCAACTACTTCACTCCCTATCACTAGTTCGGGTGTCAACGCAACCCAATCCTGAACCAACATTTTGCATTTCGAGGGAGAAAATCGCATGCCGAACATGCCTGCATTGTTGCTTAGAGTGGTCAGCAGACTCTGCATTCTGTCAGCGTCTTCACTAAATAGAACTATGTCATCGGCATATTCTAAGTCAACAAGTGGATCTCCCGGTAGAAGTTCAACTCCTGGAAATTTAGATGAGGAAAGTGTCATCTCTAAAAGGACGTCAACGACAAAGTTAAACAAGAATGGAGAGAGTGGACAGCCCTGACGAACACCACTTGAGGTAATCAATTCTGATGACAGTTCACCATAAGCTCTCACTCGACCAGTTGTGTTCAAGTAGAGAGCCTTTATAAGATTGATGTACTTCTTTGGTACTGCTTTCAGTGACAAACACTGCCATAGAACCTCACGATCAACCGAGTCAAATGCCGCCTTAAGGTCGAGAAATACTACGATTGTGGGGCGTCTCAATGTGTGTCTATATTCTAGGACCTGACGTAGTGCGAATATTTGATCTATACAACCCCGTCCAGGTCGAAAACCAGCCTGGTTTTCTCTAGTCTGCTCTTCACGAGCTTTGGTTAGACGTCGAAGTATTATAGAAGCTAATATTTTAGACACTATATTAGTCAAACTAATTCCTCTGTGATTGTCACAAGAGGACTTTCGTCCTTTCTTATAGACTGGCACAATCAGTGATTGAGACCAGTCAGATGGAATTACGTCCAGTTCCCAGATTCTACCTAAGACCTCAGTCAATCTCGCTGCTAATACTGGACCGCCATCCTTAAAAATCTCAGGGGTAAACCTGTCAGGGCCTGCTGGTCTCCATCAGTGTGGTAGATGCTACTGAGATCCAGTGTTTCTCCCTAACCTTATGGTTTACCGTACTTGCAGACATCACTACTGTTTCCACAGCTTTTCGGATGTCATTCCACGCTGTCTCGGGGCGGGCATCACTTACATGGCTGCCTAACCGTTTTTCTAGTTGTTCCTGAAATAAATTCTTAGCTTGGCTATTATTAAGTAGGACCCTAAGAGGTTTATTTGCAGCGTCTTTCCTTCGTCCAGTAAGACGCAAACAAATACGCTATCGCAATAAAGCATGATCTGAATCTAAGAACGGGCAACTATTTTATTTTATTTTAACACATAAGTATAGGTACAGGGAGGCACCAAATACATATGCGCCACACAAATCTCAATTGATTTGTGTGAGGGCTGTGATACGGGCAACAGTCTTTTATCAAGCCTCTCCATCGGTGGCTGATGGTGATGTGATCTATTTGGGTCTAACGTTGGGATGAATTCGGAGGTCACCATGTCAAAAGATGTTTTTCCTTATGCTTGAAGTTAGTATTTGCTAGAAACAGGTGGTTATCTGAGCACAGCTGCAACAGAAAGTGGCCTCTGCCAGGGAAGTCCTACTCACTGCCTTCTCGTGGCGGGGGTTTTGTTCACGAAAATGAGAGGACGAAAAGCGAATGTTCGGCGCTTTAACCGGATTCCAAACCAATGGTGCACATGGGCTCCAGTATCCTGAAGGAACAAATGGCGTATGAACCAATCGTTGGTCACCGGCTACCATGGGACTGCATCTCCTCACGATGCTCCACTGCCTTGTGGATCAGACGTTCAGGTCAAAGGCTCGGGGTGTGGCCCCCTAAGAAAACCACCTGCTTCGGTTTGGAAACCCGAGAAGTATCACATCCCTCACACAAATCAAATGAGATCTGTGTGGCGCATATGTATTTGGTGCCTCCTTGTACCAATATCTATGTGTTAAAATAAAATAAAATTATGTTCTTTGAGCCACGACACCATAAGATCCCAGGTATCTTTCCCTTTCTCTTAGTTTACCTACTTGAGCATTCAAGTCACCAGCCACTATTACTACATCTGAACGCCTAGCTTTTCGGAGAAGGTCGGAAAGCTTTTTGTAAAACTCATCTTTTACATCATCTGAGCTGCAGTCAGTGGGAGAGTAGGCAGAGACGACGAAGAGGCAACGACGAGTGTCCCTATCTTTCCGAGTCCTTACTGTTCCGTTTAGTCGGACAGCACACAAACGACTGTCTACTGGGATCCAGTCTAAGAGAGCTAGTTCTGCCCTAGGACTCAATGCTATACCTACGCCAGCAAGGCCACGGGAAGCAGCATCAGGGCTTCCAGATACACGAAGCGTAAATCGAGTTGGTTTGTTACTTTGACATGATGCGGTCAAATGAATGACACTTCTAGGATCCTGTGTGCGCGTTTCGGAGATGCAGCACACATCGATGGAGCGAGATTCTAAAGTCTTAGCTAAGGAAGCCTGTTGTCCTATTTGGCAGTGTTTGGACTTTCAAAGCTCCTACATGTAGTTTAGAGCGTGGTTTCAGGAGACCAGAAATGACGTTCTGCGTACTCGAATCGTTTGCACTAGCGGCGCGAGGTGATAAAGGGACGTGAGAAGGGTTAGTCGTGGAGATAAGAGAGTTATTAGGAGATGTATGAAGGATTTGAATGTGACCAACTTGGTCTCATGTGCTGTTGCAGTCGGGAGTACTAAACAGCAAAGATATCGAACGGTTGTTGGTCTGTGTCATGAATTAACTAAACGTAAGAATGTAATTGGTTAGACTACAGCTTAGTGGCTTAAAAGTAACGTGGTCGCTGCAGCAGTAAAAGTTTATTTGCTTGACCTATTCATCAGATTAAATAACCGTTTAGTACCTTTTTGATTTTCGGTGGTTGTTTAGTTGATATCTACCTGTAACAAAAATCATTCTTAATAAGACTGAACAGACCCAGCAAGTAAACACTCGTAAGGTTATTCTGCATTCCTTGATTATGAATGGTAAATGCTTGTGATGGCACACAAACTTCACTTTTTAATGAAGCCTTAAATATATTATGACAAAAACTTAATTTTTGTAACGCATCTGCTAGTTTTTTGTTACCTGCTAGCCAGAAATATGTTCCACACAGGCTTTTAAATCCAGTAGAATCGTCTCAGTAAATTAGTTATCCTTCGTATCTCCACAGCATTTTAATTCATATTCTTCATAAAAAATATTAACTAAAGATCGAGTTCAATACGTTTAAGGAAACCTTTTTCTGCTAGTCTCATTTTTTGTTTTTGTTTTTCGCAATTTTCTACAAAATTTAAAATAAGGTTTTCTTTCCTACTAACTTCAGACTTTTGTCGAGTTTGCCGTTGTGAGGGGACTGCATCGAAACCTCTATTTCATCCTTGTTTATGTACTGGGAGTATTAAATATATTCATCAAGATTGGTAAGTTTATAGACATTGTTTGTGAGTTTCTTCTAACAGTAATGCTCTTTTGTTCATCCACTAAAACAGACCTTCCAACATAGCAATGATTTGTCATGACATTAACTTAATAATAAAACTGGGAAAAACTCACAACCATTAAATCACTTACTCCAAAATGTTTCACTTCTTTCTATTTGGGACGTCAAGTAGTGTCGTTGGTGCATAAAATATACGTGACAAGTAGCGATTTGGATTATTGACTACTTTAATATGATAGTCTTTCAGTTTGACTTCCGATTATATTCTGAAAAGTTCAGTCATTAACTATATTTGCATGTTGTTCTATTGTATTCTGAGTTTTGACATTTACTCAGCATAAAACTTGTTTTAAGTTATTTTTTAAGGTATAATTAATCATCACTTTAAAGGGAACCTGTATATGAAGAGTTGTACTTTTCAACAAAATATATATAGCCCTGAAATGCCCTGGTATGGCCGAGAGTGGGGAGATTCCGCACTCCCTCTCGAAATGCTCTCACACGGCCACGCGTATATAGCCTCTGCTAGGGAAGTCCTACTCACTGCCTTCTCGTGACGGGGTGTTGTTCACGAAAATGAGAGGACGAAAAGCGAATGTTCGGCGCTTTAACCGGATTCCAAACCAATGGTGCACATGGGCTCCAGTATCCTGAAGGAACAAATGGCGTATGAACCAATCGTTGGTCACCGGCTACCATGGGACTGCATCTCCTCACGATGCTCCACTGCCTTGTGGATCAGACGTTCAGGTCAAAGGCTCGGGGTGTGGCCCCCTAAGAAAACCACCTGCTTCGGTTTGGACACCTGGGCAGTATCACATCCCTCACACAAATCAAACGAGATCTGTGTGGCGCATATGTATTTGGTGCCTCCTTGTACCAATATCTATGTGTTAAAATAAATAAATAATAAATAAATACAAAATATATATATTCTTTGTGGTAGTAGCTCAGGCTTGCTATCTTGGCAGTCAATTCGGTCAAGAGTTTTGAAAACATATTATAGAGTACTAGCGTGCAGTTACACTTGGATTATATTAAGTATTGCGTTAATATTTTCAAGTTGCATACCAAAGAGTACCTCATAACAATACGTAATTACCTAGCTGTCTATCCTTGATCAACCACTCTAACCGTTCCGATCTGTCATCCAAATAACTAAATATCAGTTTTATATTCAGCTAAAATGATCAAAATCTAGATTTGTGTGTTATTCTTGAATGTTATTTCATAACCATGCTGCTTATTCGTACGATGGTAAATAAATAGTTTTGATATACAACTAATTCAAGTCCATTTAGCCGTTCATACTTCACTTTGTTGCTTATATTTTACTTGTGGAAATCATTACTGGACCGATAGCTCAGTGGTTAAAGCGTTCGATTTTCAGCCACTAACTAACGGGTTTGTAACCTGCTCCACTTTCGGTCTAGACCGCCAGGTAATGTCACAAACCCTCACACTTATGTGACCCAAAACCAACAACATGAATCTGTATCTGATGAACTAGTTAGTAATAAAAATAGATAGTTATTGGTACATTTGTTTATAATTCCTGTAATTTTTTAGCCTCGTTCGTTGGCTTGAGTATAGCAAAAGAAATACTTGCGAATTATGTAATCATCGGTTTGCTTTCACTCGAATTTATGCATCTGGCACTCCACGATTTCTGCCGCTCACCGTGTTGGCTGTGGGACTGGCCAACAGCTTGCGTCGATTTGTACTAAACTGGATTCACTTGTCGATTGTCTTCACTGCATGGTTGGTTGTAGTTCCTTTATCTGCCTGTCGCATGTACCGTTGTCTTTTTACTGGTAGCGTTTTCTCACTCCTCACGCTTCCATTAGACATGGTTTCCACAAAACACTTATTACAAGATTGTGTTCAGGTAGGTTTGAAGTGATTGTTTACTAAGATATTTAGCTTTTGTGTTTCATATACTTTATTCACCCCGTTATTTGCTACACACTCTTTAAAACTGAAATCCTATCTATGAAGTCTTTTAAGCATCTTTTAGCAATGACCGTTAAAAAATAATTTGGCTGAACGTTGCTGAAAAATAAAACAGTTTAGTTAAACAACAAGTGTATATTTTCATATAAAGTTTCACAGTCAAGAATGCTGATGGTGGTGGTCGTATATGTCAGTCTCACTATAGCCACGACCTGGACACTGTTGTTTAATATGCTTACTGTAACGGTCTGATGGATCTATACTGACTGAATAACTAGTTTCTCGAGGTTCTACCATGCTAAATGAACCACTTCAAAAACCATGAAACTAAATTTGGCACATTTAAAGTTATATGACAACGCTCTATTGCTAACTACTCCGCGGTAAGATGTTCCACATATAACTAAAGTCGTCAGCGATTCTGGTTTACCACGGTTGGTAATTAGCATTAGGAAAAACCGGTCCTAAAAATATCCCACCCTCTGCCTCACGAATTTCCAGTCTCCGTCATAAGTGTTGAAAAGTAGGTAATTAATTCAACATAAAGTATCACTCATTTGAATAGTGTGATCAACCTCAAACGAATGTTCTTGGGGCCAGTACACTTTCAACAATAATAAAGCTTATGTAGAAATCTCGAGACTGAATCTCCTTTTAGAGCATGAATTGCCAATATGTGTTAACCCCTTACATTCCTCAATAGTACTTATTTTCATCTAGTTCGCTAGTAAACCCCTTCCTCCTCTCCATAATTATCTACTCCCGTTGCTAATCCTTCTCTGATTTTATATTTTTCCATATATCGTAGTATTTTTAACAGACAACTTTAACATTCAGATGGGTAGTCCACGTCATACTGTAAGACATTCAAGTGGGTCATCCTGCGTCCTGTTTCATAGAACAGATAACGATGACCACCTTCTAAATCTGTACTCAGAAAACCGTCTATTAACCATTGTCTACTCTTGGGACAAAAAATGATCGTAAGATCTGATAACTTTTAGAAACTTAGTAATGAGCGGATACTGATCATATTACTCTTAAAAAGGAAATTTATGGTTCTGAATCACATATGCAGACTAATATGAATGCGCGTTTGTCAGCTTTTTATTAGCCTCAAAATCGATACAAGTTTTCATAAATCAACCATTCTTTGGTTTAAAACCGTTTAGGCACCAGAATTTCTAACCTAGACGAATTGTTGAGTTCGTTAATTATCGAAATTAATTTAAGAGAAGACATGCGTCGTTTAGAGACGGAAAGAGACTGAAAGCAATATAAAATATGATAAGATAATCTTAGTTTTGGTCATTTGCAAGGTTTAGCATTTTAAGTGTGTAAATGGTATTCGTTTTTATACTAGTGATTATCATTTACTGATTGACAACTGTAATACTATCCAAAGAGTAACAAACGGAAATCATTTCTCATTATTTTATTTAATCTACATAAGGATATGTCTCCATGATGACCAGTCAGTCAACTGCGTTCATACACCACTCGTTGTCCCAGGGCCTACGTACATTTTTGGTGTGTAGTTAGTATTCTAAACCCCTCTACTTATACCAGCTTTAAACATCTATCGACCAGGTTAAAGAGTTGAACATCCACTTTCATTTTCTTACTCTTTTCTCCACACAATTTTTGACTGAATAAAGTCAATCTTAACTAACATTATATGTCACAGTATTGCCTAATGCAAACTTGTCTTTTTCTATTGATCTATTCATCGTATCATTTCTTCTTTTCTATGTCCTTCAAAATATTCTCATTTTTGTTTTACGTGGTGAATTTTCCGAAATATATCTTTTTTTTACTATTAAGTTTCCTCTGCACTTTTTTGCTATAAGTAAATAAATAGATTTGTAATAGATTTCTCCAGTGAGGATATATATATATATATATATATATATATATATATATATATATATATATATATACTCAATAAATTCCAGTGCGATAATATCTCACTTAATTTATTCATATTAGGGTTTCATTATTGTAATTCTTGCATTGGCTGCATTTTTGGGTTATGTTTCATTGCGAGAACAACTTCTCCAAGGAACACCAGCGTGGTTGGAACATGATGCTCATGCAGGTATTTTCACTTTGTATTTTGTATCGTTTAGAGGTAATTCAGTTTAGTTTATCTCTGTATATAGTATTATTCTTCTCAAAATGGTTAAGGATGGATTTGTTTTATTAAATCAGAATATAGAAATCTTGCATTATTACACTAACGTGTTTTTTTACAAACATGTCTAGCACTATTATGATGTTTGTGTATACTCATCGAAGTGCTTTAACAATTCAGTATTTTCAAAATACGTAAAAATTTTGTACCATTTGGCAACATAAAGGATCTTTCACCACACAATTTTATGCGTTATGAATCCAGAGTAATTTGGAAGTGAGAGAGAGAGTTAAGGTGAATAGTCAGTTTTGAAAATCATTTCTTTACAAACCTCAAAGGACTACTCTAATCTATAATTAGCTTTATGATGTGGAAAACTTATACAGGACAATAAATATGGATATGATCTCATATCTTCGTTTAAAATGTGGAACGCATGAATGGGCAAAGCTGAATTTAGACAAAGGTTAGTAAACAAAGATTCCAAATCTGTTGATATAGTTGTGAATCTGCATCGTATGCCTAAATATCGCCTACTTTGATGCAAATTTTTAGCTGGCATAGGAATGGGTTAGAAGGAAATTAGGAGTGCCTAAATCAGGAATTGGCATCAGTCCATGAAGTCACTGACTGCTGGTCTAAGTCATTTTGTAGATTCAAACTACCTGTTTAAAGTTGTCATCATAACTATCACCAGTAGAAACAAATACCTGCTTCGGTTTGGGCACCCGAGCAGTATCACAGCCCTCACACAAATCAATTGAGATTCGTGTGGCGCATATGTATTTGGTGCCTCCTTGTACCAATACCTATGTGTTATAAGAAATAAATAAATAATAAATAGTAGAAACAAATGGACGGTATGTTTTGGAGTCAGTTTCGGTGGTACAGATGCTTACTTACTTACGTACGACTGTTACTCCTAATGGAGCATAGGCTGCCGACCAGCATTCTCCAACCCACTCTGTCCTGGGCCTTCTTTTCTAGTTCCATCCAATTCTTGTTCATTTTTCTCATATCTATCTCCATTTCCCGGCGTAATGTTTTCTTTGGTATTCCTCTTTTCCTTAGGCCTTGAGGATTCCATATGAGGGCATGTCTTGTGACGCAGTTGGGTACTTTCTTTAATGTGTGTCGTGTCCATTTCCAGCGCTTCTTTCTGATTTCTTCCTCCAATGGGATCTGATTTGTTCTATCCCATAGTAGGTTGTTGCTATGGGTACAGATGCATTCACTCTTAATCGTCCTCTTTATTTTGAATCCCAGTTTTACTACATACATACCTTTTCATTCTGTCTTTTAAGACCATATTTTCAATTTTCAGTCTTTCTTACTGTCATTGCTATCAGATTGTTTCAATCTCTTACCATTCATCTTGTTCTTTTCACCTCGTTGTGTGACTGTATTCCGGCAACATGAGCTAACGCTTATTTGTGCTAGGCTTCAAGTTCACTATGACTAACTGAATTACTACACTAAAGATATGTATTTACTAAGGTGAAGTGCTTTGGTCGCAGTATATTTTAGATAAGAACTAATTAACGTTATATTAATTTGATCCGAAAATCGAAATCATCTAAGATAAATATATTCTCTAGAAAGTTTGTTAAGTTTTTTTTATTCACAACCAAATGATTTATCCAAGTCAATTTTAAAAAACCTATAGTATAGTTAATTCATAGTACATCTAACTCGTTTTTACTCTTAACACAAAATGTTATCAAAGAGTATATTATGTTTAAAAAAAAAGTAAATTGAGGCTTATTAGTGCAAAGAACATCATCTCAACAATGGATTATAGCAACTTGAACCGACCTACATACGTACGAAGTTCTACATTGTGACTGACTGACTTGTACATTACTAAGCTATCTATATGGAAGAAATTTTCGCGCCACTGGATTTTCCATAATTAAAACTAGTCAGTAATCTTGCAATTTTTTTTATTATATACAAGAATTCTTTATAACATAACAGTCTTATAATAAGAAATAAACCACTATGTGGTATGTACTACCTGTACGGACTGCTGTAAGCAGTATATATCAGGAATTGGGAGTAGAATTCTTATAGACAGAAGAGGAAAATAAGGCGAAAAGAAGGAAAAGCAGAAGCAGCTCGAGTAGCGACAGAAGTGAAAGAACGATGGGATTTATAAGTGAAAATTCAAGGAAGATGTCCAAATGATGTATTCAATCTCGTTTTCATGTTTTACGAAGTACGTGATTTTGATTAATGCAATAAATTGGTTTACTCTAACCTAGTCTTCATTCAGTACAAGCAAATAACTTTTTTATTAGCTAATTTTTTATCTTCAATAGACAAGTTTTATGTGAAGTTACATTTCAAACGTATATCAGATAATCCAAGCTGAACAACCACTGAAAATTGAGAATTATAAAACTATGTAGAGATTCGTTTTTAAAAAAATTTAGACACTCAATATTTGTTTAGATATTTTTTCAAAAAATTAAATGTAAATTTCTTCTGTGTTTCAATCTCGAATTTACTTGTGAATTCCAGGAGCTCGTGGTGCTGGTCCTCCCCATCCTCCTCGTCCTGCCGCTGGGGCCAATGGTAGGCGACCTTTATTTCCGGATATTTTCAATATTTTTGGTGTTGCAAATGGTGGTGGTTTAGGTGCTGCAGTTTTCGGTGAAGGCAATGAAGATCCTGTTGAACCTGAAATATTTAACAATGATGAACAACATCATCAGACTGTTCAACAAGAATTAGTGAATCCTGAACATATCACGTGTTCCTCTCTAAACCAACAACAACCGGTGATAAACAGTGGTATTTCACAATCATTAGAGTCTTCACATGAATCGGCAGATACTGTAAATCATGATACATCATCTAATCCACAACAATTGGCTTGGTATATGGAAAATACAGGAGTTAATTTGGATGGGGATATTCCTGACGAAGATGGTAGAGCCAATAATGATCCAGCAGATGCAGATGGTGCACCAGAAGCTATGAATTGGAAACATTTATTGGGTCTAGATGGATCTTTAAATTTTCTGGAACACGTTTTGTGGCTTATTGCTTTAAATACTTTGTTTATTGTCATATTTGGTAAGTTTCGTGGTGTAGTAAAATCATAATTTAGGGTGTTTGTAGTAAACGTGGTTTGTATTTGCACCGTTAATATTTTACCTACTAGTAGTATATCAATTAGATTTTCCTTGATTGAGATCTAGTTGCAAGCTATTTTTGATGTTTACAATAAGGTTACACAGAAAGAATGTTGTTAAATGCGCTTATTGAGTTTCTACACTGTAACTACACAAAACATGTCAAATAAAACTTGATTTCTTATTGTTGACCAATCAAGATCGAGGTTTACAGGACAAGTTTGTACTGATGTTGTTCAAAAGAATAATGAAAGCTCCACGAATAAACCATCCAGCTCAGAGAACAAAACTCCACCTAAATTCTTACATTGTGCTGAGGCTAACTGCATTGAGCAACAGTGGTAAATAAGAGGTGAATATAAAATATACTGAAAGGATTTATTTCTCAGCACTTATATACTAGCAGATAAATAAGTAATTAGATAAAGTTTCAGAGTTGGAAGCACTCTAACTTCGAGAAAGCTAATGATTACTCAATTCAAGTTGCCAGATAATCAGGACAGCGAGACGTAATCATCAAGACAAATATCCGTGTAGTAGAAGTGGTAACAATACCGGTAGTAATAGGAAAAATTCAGCACGGACAATATAATCCAAAATGAGTTCGCGGAATAAAATGTATGAAATTTTGAAACTCATGTTATAAAAGAAGACAAAGAGTGAATTCTGTGTCATCGTGAAGGATTATGAGCCATATCACCCAATAAACTATACGCTATTACTAATGGACGAAAATTTTAGGATTGAAACAGTTCAAATTTAAACAATTATTTGTTTCTGCTTGTTTAGCTGTTTTCGTATTAAAATGAAACATTTTGTACTATGATTATTACTGCTGAGGTCAGTAATGCAACTAATGCGTCAGTATTCCAACCTTGATGAGACGTCTAATGTAGGCAACGTAGTCAGTTTGTATTCGAAACTAGGTTACTTGTTCTCAATGAAAATGAAAGGTCTATAGTATGTCCCACTTCATCAAATAAAATGTAACTGTGACTGTGTTATAACTTGTGACCTGGATGCCCGGTTAATGTATAACGTAATAATACCACCAATCAGAGAGCAGTTAATTATCGATCGGACCAAGGATGCGTAAAACACGTGCGAGCAGACTAGGGTTCTAATTGGTCCTGCTTTCCGTCCAGCCCAGCCAGTTAAGTCCAGAACACCAATCTAAGCATCTGCAATATGAATCATGTATTTCAAACATGCTCGGTTTATATACCAATCGAACAGATCACATGGTACTATAAAATAGAAAATAACGTTTGCACAATATTTGGCCAAATGTGGCTGTGAATGTGGGAGGTAGTGATTAATATACAGGGCATAATTCAAGAATGGTAAAACGTATAATAATGGTTCATGGGTCAAAATAAAGCTTATAATAAGAGAAATATGAATATGAATAGTTTAGTTATTTAACAATTATACGATAAAAATATACGCATAGTATTGGTCCATAAATGGATCCCAAAAGTTACCATTCACCATACTTATTGGGGCATAACAGGCTGTAACATCATTTTCTACATACTTTTGAATTCGATCTACACAATTCCAGCTTTACCAACTGCATTTCTGGTCATTAATGTTTGAAGATAACCATTCTTTTTTATTGTTTAACAAAAGTGCTATATCTGATGTTTTCGAACATTTTCCCACCTATTTAGTGTCAATTCTGCACATAAGCGCATAATTTCCATTCAGAATTTTATTTTAACTATCTGAAGCTATCTGCATGTGTCTTCTTCAAACAAGCGATTGCATTTCATCATAATTTGCAGGATGACCAAAAGCAAATAAAGTGAAAGTTAGAACTTGAAATGAAATTCCCAGGGAAAATTATGCTTTTTCATGTAGCACTCACCCGCTAAATGAATGGAAAAAGTTTGATACCGCACACATATTGAGCATTGAAAAACTAAGTGTTACAAGTTCACAGACACGCATCATATTCCTTCATTGATAATTTTTGCTTAAGTTTTAATGACATTAGCCAAGCTTTATATAACTAGAATATTTTTCATGTCACCATCATCAAGTAATGTGATTGATTCACATATACTAAATTCATGATTCTTTGTTTTTTATCATACATCATCGTGTAACTTGATTTTTTACCGGTTTTTTAATATCGTCATATATGTATGCTTGATTTTTTTTCACTAACTGCGTCATTTATTTATCTATTTAATTTATAGCCTTTTGTCCATATCATATGGGTCAGTTTACTGTGTTGGGATTCAATTTGGAACGTTTTGTAAGTGAATAGTTTTTTCCCTGTTTTGTTGTAAAAGCCAATCACAACTTATTATTGTCAATTATTAACAAACATTTTAATTTATATATAGATTAATGCAACGCACATGGAAGGGTTTAGTACAAGTTTAATTGGTTACATTATTTTCGCTTTTGCTTTGATTCTTATGCATGAAATATTCGCTATTCTCAATATGCCTCGGTAAGATAAATTTTTTTGCGTATATAATTTTGCCTTTTTTAATTAACTTGTATTAAATCGTTTTTTTCATTGTAAAAAAACACCTGTCTTATACAGAAGTACTTTATGTTTATAAGGTTCGAAATACATGTCATACCCATAGACACTAATTGCCAACTATTTAAGTGTTACTTGCATGTTATTTTTTTCGTCTTAGTGTAAGATAATATCACCCTCCTACTCAAGATTGAAGTCTTTCTCCAGATAACAAATCCACACGCACTAGTACTTACTTTGCAGCAGAGAACTTATCAACAGCAAATTTTCGTGAGAATTTTTAAATTTTTCACCCATCCCTCACCACACTGTCGGACAAGAACCATTGAAAGGGGTGATTGAATCCCTTCGCTCTGTTTAAGGTGGGTTTTTCACGAAGTACTAGTTGTAGGAGATACTTCTAATGACAAATGATGGCGTAAGCATGCAGCTAAAATGTCATACTGATTACTTAATGAGGTAAGCTATTCAAACACATCTAGCAATCTTTGTTAATCTTATATCCTACATTATTTAGATGTTATGTTCATATTCAGGATGAAAATATCCAACTTAATCCACGATAGAATTGAGTATCTTAAGTGAAATTTAAAATTTAATAACATTTTCGTGTAATCATCAAAGTGCTGTTATAAGTTGTTTTAAAATCAATTTTTGATTCCATCTATTTTCCTATCACTGATAGTGTGTATGATGATACTTTTTTCGGTCATGTGATCCGGTATCTAACATCTTATTAAAAATAATATGACGTTGATTCAGATTAGAATGCTGAGTCCTAATTTAATTTAATTTGTCAATTTGTGAATGTAAATATTCACTAACTTGTTTCATCAGAGAGGGTGCTGACAATAGAACTTAGAATAATTCTACGAAGCCGATTTGCATGTTGATTTGGTCAAATGTAGGAATAATACCATTTAGTTTCTTAATAGCCATCACTAATCTTTTGATACATTTATATGTATCAAGTCCAAACGAATGAGATAAGTTCACGTGGTGTGTTAATCAGTTCAATTTTCTCGCTAGCTTTAAATGCATAGTATCGGCTGTCATTACATATTCGATTCAAGGACTAGCTGAATCTTGTTAAATACTTGCAGATATCTAACTGTACTAACATAAAACCAAGTCATGTGTGCACTTGTAAATGTAACACAAGTAGGAAAATCTGAGTGCCCTAACATACAAAGGCTAAATTTTCAAATAAAATTAACGTATTTTCTAAGTTCAACTATTAGTTACCTCAAAGTATCAAATATTTATCAAGTAACCTTATAAAATTGATTCATCTTTGTCAGTTAATTAGTCCCCCAAATGCACTGGTATGGCCGAGAGTAGGGAGAGTCCGCTCTCCCTCTCGAAATGCTCTCACACGGCCACGAGTATATAGCCTCTGCCAGGGAAGTCCTACTCACTGCCTTCTCGTGACGGGGGTGATGTTTTCGAAAATGAGAGGACGGAAAGCGAATGTCCGGCGCTTTAACCGGATTCCAAACCAATGGTGCACATGGGCTCCAGTATCCTGAAGGAACAAATGGCGTATGAACCAATCGTTGGTCACCGGCTACCATGGGACTGCATCTCCTCACGATGCTCCACTGCCTTGTGGATCAGACGTTCAGGTCAAAGGCTCGGGGTGTGGCTCCCTAAGAAAACAAGCTGCTTCGGTTTGGACACCCGGGCAGTATCACAGCCCACACACAAATGTAGTGAAATGTTGATATTTATGGAAGATACTTTTCTTGCTTTAATTAACAATCAAACGATTCACATTATCGTTATTATTATTATTGTTGTTATTACTATTATTATTTACCAAGTCATTTATTCACTCTCTCTTATTTCCACTCTGTCTATCCTTACTTTTCGATTTATACAGTAGCTCGCCTATGATGGAAATTCTGTTCTATCTAAACGTTCTCGAATCACTGCCTGGTTGAAAATTGTATGTTACCACCGAATACGAGTGCTGAAGCAGTTTTTCTGAAACCACGTGCACCATTCAAACTGGCTGCCTTCAACGTTCGCACACTTATGCAGGTCGGACAACAGATAGGGCTGGCTGTGTCTTTGGAAAGTTTTAATATTGACGTTTCTTGTCTGTCCGAGACCCGTATTCAAGACTCTGGTGAAGTACTACAAATTCGCTCTCCATCTGTCACTTCAAAAAGCTTGTTTTATGTGCGTTTATCTGGGGACCCTGTGGCATCTTCGTCTGGTCTTGCTGGCGTTGGTGTCGCACTAAGCGCTAGAGCTGAGACAGCACTGACTAATTTTATCCCCATTAACAGTCAGTTATGTGTTGTTAGATTAGAAGTCAGCGTGAGAAACGACAGATTGCAGCTTGGATGCAATCAAGGATGAATTCTACCACCAGTTAACTATTCTTCTCTAGAAATTACATTCGACAGATATTACAACTGTGAGCAGCCCAACACCTGTTTCTGGCTAGCAGTAACATCCCGCACAGTCAACGTCAATGTGTCACCTGGCGTCCTCCCCCCATACATCCCAAGCCTGGATTCACATTGATCTCATCATGGTCAGCTTCCGCTGGCGTGGTTGTGTACAAGAGTGCCGCTCCGTTTAGAGAACCTATCTGGACTCTGATCATGCCCTGGTCTGCGCCGATCTTACCTTACTTTTCAGTGGCCAACGAAGTGACCGCCAACAAAGCATTGATATCAGCAAGTTGGTTGCAACTTCTGTTGCTAGTAAGTATCGAACCGAGCTAGGTTCTAGGCTAGCTACCATTCCACCGAAAAGTATAGATGAGCATTGGTTGCAATTGCATGACGCCATGAAAATGGCTGGTCAAGTCAGTTGTGGATTCGCGAAACGTCCCGCTTATAAGCACTGGGTTTCTTCTGGTTCCTTACAACTCATTGAAGCCCGTCGGTCTACTCCGGGTGACCGTGAGTTTGACGACAAACGAAGGATTTTACGTACTGAAATTGGGCACAGCTTGCGTAAGGACCGAGAAGCCTGGTGGTCGGAGCGTGCTAATGAGCTGGAAGCAGCAGCTGCATCTGCTAATTACCGGAAAATCTTCCAACTCATCCGGGCCACTGGCAGAAAGAAGTCTGGTATGAGCGAGACAATCTGCGAGGATGACGGGATGTCAATAACTAAAATCCATCAACGTCTTGGACTATGGGCAGAATTTTTCGAAGGGCAGTTCAACTGGCCTGCTGCTCCGGCAACATCGGTCAGACTGTCCTGCCCTTCATGGCCGGTGACGACTGATCCACCAAATGAGGCGGAAGTCCGCAAGGAACTCCAACTCTTGAAACGCTACGAATCACCGGGCCCAGATGACTTACCTCCGGCTCTTTTTAAAGATGTTGGTGACATTCTGGCTAAGGAGCTGACGACGTTGTTTACAAAGGTCTGGGAACTAGAGAGTGTACCAACGTCATGGAATGAGTCGATAGTTGACCCTATCTTTAAAAAGGGTTCACGTCGTTCCTGTAACAACTATCGGGGGATAAGTCTACTTCCGATTGCGTCCAAGCTATTGGCTTCCGTTATACTTCGTAGGTTGTTCAAAACCGGAGAAGGATTGACTCGCAAGGAGCAGGCTGGGTTTCGTTCCGGTCGAGGATGTATTGATCATATCTTCATCCTCCGCTAAATGTTAGAACACCACCATACATATCAAAGGCCAACAATCGTGGTGTTTCTTGATATCAGGGCTGCCTTCGATTCGTTGGATAGGACTGTTCTTTGGGAGTGTCTATTGAAGAAGGGTGTGCCTGAGAAGTTTATTAACATCCTAAAAGCCCTATACACAAACACCTCAGGCAGAGTGAGGGCATACAACCACCTTTCTCCATTGTTCCATTCAAGCAGTGGGGTTAGGCAGGGTTGCCCAATCTCACCATTCCTCTTCAACTTCGCCATCGATGACATTCTAGAAATACCTCTGATGGATGTAAGTAATGGCGGTGTAGATCTGTTGTCTGGAGAAAGACTTCTCGACCTTGAGTATGCGGATGATATTGTCTTACTGTGCGATAATGCCCAAGCTATGCAATCCGCACTTAATCAGTTGGCAATCAATGTCCATAGGTATGGCATGTACTTTGCACCTTCGAAGTGCAAAGTACTTCTACAAGACTGGCAGGATTCTAATCCTGTACTCACTCTGGATGGCGAGCAGATAGAAGTAGTCGAGAAGTTCGTGTATCTAGGTTGCTGCATAAGTGCTGGTGGTGGCGTGAGTGATGAGATCAATGCACGTATAGTGAAAGCCAGAGCGGCTTATGCCAATCCGAGTTGAGGATCATCGTTGTCTCCGAAGGATTGCTGACATTCAGTGGCAACACCATGTTAGTAATGCAGAGGTTCGGCATCGTGTGTTCGGGCACAGAGACGATAATCCGATTGGTGTCACCATCTTGAAACACCGACATTGGTGGCTTGGACATGTTCTACGAATGTCTTCCCAGAGAATTCCTGGTTGTGCATTATTTTCCGACTCTGGGACTGGTTGGAAAAGGCGGAGAGGTGGTCAATATATGACAAGGTGTCGTGGTATGAAAGAAAGCTGCAAAGGGCTGGTTTGTGTTGGTCCTTCACGACTCCCTGGCTGGGGTTCGAGAGATGGTGCAACACAGTGGCTAGAGACGTTATCAGATATGGCTCAGAATAGAAGCCAGTGGCGATCATGCTGTAACCTTCCTTTACTTTCTTCATAAAAGTGGTTGCTTCTTCCTTAACTGAAAGATTTCTTCTGATTGTACCTTTCCATTTCCCCCATTATTATTCTCTTTTTTTAATAATTCCCCACGTTCATTACTTTTTTTTTCTCCTTCTCTTCAAATTCTCATTGTTTTGTGTGGCGCATATATATTTGTTGCCCCCTTGTACCAATATTTAGGGTTCAAATAAGTAAATAAATAATAAATACCACTTCAGCACGTCAAGATAAATTTAAAACCATGATGGTAGAATTATGTAGTATCAGCGGCAATAAAGGAAAAGTTAGGAATAGAGAATGTGTAGTTTGAGTAAGAGAAAGGTATTTGTACAATGCAATATATGAAATAATATTCGAAGCATTGAATTTTAGGTTGTGGAAACAATGAATGCATCTCCGTCATGCAATCATTGGTAAACCTTGTCATTTCAATCCAATCACTAATTTATTGAACTCCATAAATACAAAATTATCTAATAGTGAATCAAAGCATGTAGATGATAAGATTTCGTTCGAAGTGACAATAATATTTGATATCTGCTGGTGTTCAATGTCTTTTACTTCAGAAACGTTACTATTTAAAAACAACTTGTTATGTTTTATTTGGTAACAGGTATTTAATTTCACATCATAACATTTAATTGCTTAAATCCCTTCGTTACTATCTTACATTATCTTCACTCGATTTTATTTGCTTAGTTTTAAATATCAATGATTAATGTTCTCATAGTTATCATTATATGCTTAAAAGTCACTTATTATCAATACTTTCACAAATTACCGTGCACACAGAGCTTGTTATTGGACCGGTCTGGGTTACATATACATCAAAGTTGCTTTGGTTTCTTTAATGGAATTGGGTATTTTCCCCATTTTGTCTGGATTTTGGATAGATGCTTGTACTTTGGTAAGCATACCTTACTTGGTTGTCTATCCATCGATAATTTATTTCACTTATTATTTTTTACCCGTAAATGCTATGGTTGAATCTTGAATTTTGTCATAGCCTTTAAGCAAATTTAGTGTAATATGGTGTTCAATGAATAAAGAACACAAAGCATTTAAATTATAACTACTGATTTTGTATATTAAGCATAAAGATCCATGTTATTGGAAATGTTTTTTTTAGTTATTGATTTTTGTACGTATGGTTTCGATATATCGTTTTAAATTCGAATAATTATCGCGTTATTTTCAAAATACTTTGACGCAATTTCTTAGTGTAAGATCTCAGTAGGTTGTTTTGTTATGTTGATTGGCCGTCAATTTTATTATCATCTTTTTATCAGTGATTTGTAACGTTTAGACTCTATTTATATAAACGTGACAGGGAAGTTAACTGTTATATTCAAAAAACCGAACTTCACTAAATCGATTGGTGTAATCTATTCACCTAGTACGGATTCTTGTACTTGTCTTTGAATCTTAGTTTGCTCATGAATGGTTAGCATTAGTATTCAAATACCCAAACTGAATCAAGTGGATTGGAAACCGAACCCCTGACGTAGTAGTTGCAAGTTGAATGCCTCTGCCACTGAGTCAATGGTGCACAAAAATGTCCACTAAGACTGCTGCAATGATTTAGATTAAGGCCATTATCTCATTCGGTTTTAAAAAAATAAGCAATATATAAACCATTATAATACCTTATAGGTAGAAATGTATGGTGGTTAACAGTGGAGTCCAGGACGCGCGTTTCGCCCCTCCTTGGGACTCGTCAGCGGGATGCGCCTTAACCGGATCCCAAATCAATGGTGCTCATGGGCTCCAGTATCCTGAAGGAACAAATGGCGTGTGAACCGATCGTTGGTCACCGGCTACCATGGGACTGCATCTCCTCACGATGCTCCACTGCCTTGTGGATCAGATCTTCAGGTCAAAGGCTCGGGGTGTGGCCCCCTAAGAAAACCACCTGCTTCGGTTTGGACACCTGGGCAGTATCACATCCCTCACACAAATCAAACGAGATCTGTGTGGCGCATATGTATTTGGTGCCTCTGTGTACCAATACCTATGTGTTAAAATAAATAAATAAATAGATGTGCCTGTATTTCAGAATCGGGACTCGAACCCGATACTGTTCGCTTCAAACTCCATCGCATTATTCACTTAGCCTACTGAATTTAGATAAACACTGGCTTGTGTAATGGCATAAAATTTAATACTTTTGTATTGGTTGTTTGAATCATTTTATTGGTGTTTAAGGTTGCAATTGATCAGTCCCTTTAATACCTTGGCCTAATTTTGGAGTAAATATTGAAGATCAGTGTAAACTGTGATTGAAACAAAACAAATATATGAGCTTTAAAACATTAATATAGTGTTTAATGAAATTTTAGGCAACAATTGTCAGTAAATTTCAGCGAACATAGAAAACTAGTAAATTTCGACAGCTTTTTCAGAATTTTTTATGTTGCAAACTTCACTGATGGACTCTAAATGCTATAGGAAGTGAAAGCAATATCTACTCAACGATCATCAATATTATTTTGGTTAAGGAATAAAAGTAGTCGAAAAGGCAATAATCTTAGTAGGCTGGATTAAAAGTATCGAACTGACCAAATTTAATATTTAATAGTTGAACTAGCGTAGAAAAAGACTGATTAGTACGTGACTCACATACACATATGTAGCACGTTCTTCTATATTTTGTCTAACTACTGACCCACAGACAAAGTAAATGGAGTACAACTCTTCGAAGAACAACTCATCTGGTCTCCAGCTACTTTTCAGTTACAAATCTACAAACAGAAAAAAATAGGCGAGTTGATATTGAACCTTTATTTCCTTATGAAGTTTAGATGGTTATAGCTAACTCGGAGTTCGTGAGATTATATTTAAAGCAGCATTCCCCAAGAGACGCAAGAGTATAAATTGGATTGACTGAGGTGTCGGTTTTTATTTAAGGAATCGGATGCATCAGATCGTGCTGTTCCGAATATAGTGATAAGTTGAAGATACTTGGATTAGTTATATTTCTCACACTTTGAAAACATAAATATTTGAGCACAATTTTTTGTATTCATTCATATAGTCTCTGTTCAATGCGACGTTAACTCAACGAGCCAGTGTATTTCATTATGCACCAGTTGCTTTCACCTTTATTCATTGGGCAATTGGAATGTTGTACATATTTTATATGGCGTCTTTGCTTGTACTGGGTCGAAGTGTACTACGTCCTGGTGTTTTACGCTTCATATACCATTTTAATGATCCGGATTATAAGCCTATTCAAGATGTACGCAAATATTTTATTCCATCTTATTGTTAAATAATCGTTATTACATTTGTTGTTATTTCTTTGCTTTACTTAATACTGGTTTCGTTTCATAATTGCGTACGTACATATTGACCATTGGTTCTAAATCCAAAGAAGCTCCTTTCGTTCACAGTTTATTATGTAAAAAAGTGACTGCGCTCTGTGTAAAAATATGTGCTAAAGTTATGCTTAGCCCTTCTTCAGTGATGATAAATTGGATACTTAAAACAGTGAATCTAAATAGACTGTAAATATTATTATTATTATCATTATTATTAATATTATTACTTTTATGATTATCAATATTAATGGCTTTATCCCATATCATACTTTTGGTACAAAATAGAATTTTCAGAACAACGTATTTCAAAAAGCTTACTTTACAAAACAAAACAGAAAACCATAATTGCATACATATATTCATAAATTTAGTAAATGAAGTACCTGAGATTAGATGATATGTTTTTTAGATTTGAATCTGTTCAACTTTTTAATTGGAAACATGTTTAAGAATACAACTTATTGATTAACTCAGCTCAAACGGCCTGTTTTCACGCGATATATTTACTAGATAAGGTATTACAGAGCTCTTATATCTTTGCTTGCGCACATGGATTTTAATATAATGATGTTTCTTTCTATAAGAAGATATACGAGGAGAAAGATGTGAATGAACTGGACGGTTAGTATATGATAGGATGACACTTGCCAGGAGTTTGCGAGATTTTAGACATCTCTCTACAACTATATTAACAATGACCTTAAAGGATTCACCATCCCCTGCTAAATGCCTTCATCACTCTCCGCAATACAGCAAAGACTTTTCTCAAGATCCCAGGAAAGAATAATGGTGAAGATTAGAGAATAATATGTAATATGCAAGAATTAACAAATCCTAAGTGTTAATGTCGAGTAATGCCAAAAGCGTGCAGCCTCTTTATATGGTAAATCAATAAAAAAACTTTCTTCGATAACACCAAAATATGAGAAGACCAAGAGAGATCAGAAGAAAAATTACACCAAGATAAATGATATTTGACCGTAGCTGCTACCTTGACGTGGTGGTCGGGCTTGCCTATCGTGATGATCCAACCGAGCTATATTGGCTGGAACACATGTTCCTGCAGGTTCTACCATGCCAGGCAAGTCGATTGGAGAACGGTAAGACTAAAAGCAGCAACTCAAGGTCTGAGGGCGAAGTCGTACTGCTGACTGTACAGAGGTGTGACAGCAGTAAGGTGTTTCCTTCGGACAACCAGCATCTGCAGCGATGCTGCCTTCTCACAAGGAAGGAAGGGGTTAGAAAAGGTCGACCCTAAAATTGTCACACCTCGCCTTATCCCACGGATTTCCGTCTCCGGCGGTAAGGCCCCTTGAAGAACGGAGCTAACACATTAAAAACCTACCGCAAAAAGGCCGTGCGCGACCGGCCTCAAGCAGTTGTCCCGTGGGCTCTGCGGTCACGCACCTGGGTCGTTAAGACCAACACTAATCCGATTTCCTTTTCAGGTCCCTCAAGAAATACCCTTCCACGGTGTGGGCAGCCGGAAAGTGACATCAGCCCTCATACCTGTTACTGCACACGAGACCAAGTTGGTCACATTCAAATCCTTCATACACCTCCTAATAACTCTCTTATCTCCACGACTAACCCTTCTCACGTCCCTTTATCACCTCGCCCCGCTAGTGCGAACGATTTGAGTACGCGGAATGTTATTCCTGGTCTCCTGAAAACACACTCCAAACTACACGTAGGAGCTTTCAACGTCCGAACACTGTGCCAAATCGGACAACAGGCTTCCTTAGCTAAGACTTTAGAATCTCGCTCCATCGATGTGTGCTGCGTCTCCGAAACGCGCACACAGGATCCTTGTAGTGTCATTCATTTGACCGCACCATGTCAAAGTAACGAACCATCTGGATTTACGCTTCGTGTATCTGGAAGCCCTGATGCTGCTTCCCGTGGCCTTGCTGGCGTAGGTATAGCATTGAGTCCTAGGGCAGAACTAGCTCTCTTAGACTGGATCCCAGTAGACAGTCGTTTGTGTGCTGTCCGACTAAACGGAACAGTAAGGACTCGGAAAGATAGGGACACTCGTCGTTGCCTCTTCGTCGTCTCTGCCTACTCTCCCACTGACTGCAGCTCAGATGATGTAAAAGATGAGTTTTACAAAAAGCTTTCCGACCTTCTCCGAAAAGCTAGGCGTTCAGATGTAGTAATAGTGGCTGGTGACTTGAATGCTCAAGTAGGTAAACTAAGCGAAAGGGAAAGACACCTGGGTGGATCTTATGGTGTCGCGGTTCAAAGAACAGATAACGGCGACCATCTGTTGCAGCTATGCTCAGATAACCGCCTGTTTCTTGCAAACAATAACTTTAAGCATAAGGAAAAACATCTTTTGACATGGCGACCCGCGGAATCGTCCCAACGTCGGACCCAAATAGATCACATCGCCATCAGCCACCGATGGAGGGGCTCGATAGAAGACTGTCGCTCATTCTGGAGTACATGCTTAGACTCAGATCATGCTCTAGTGCGAGCGCGTATTTGTCTACGTCTTACTGGACGTAGGAAACATGCTGCAAGGAAACCACTTAGGGTCCTACTTAATGATAGTCAAGCTAAGAGTATATTTCAGGAATAACTAGAAAAACGGTTAGGCAGCCATGTAAGTGATGCCCGCCCCGAGACAGCGTGGAATGACATCCGAAAAGCTGTGGAAACAGTAGTGATGTCTGCAAGTACGGTAAACCATAAGGTTAGGGAGAAACACTGGATCTCAGTAGCATCTACCACACTGATGGAGACCAGCAGGCCCTGACAGGTTTACCCCTGAGATTTTTAAGGATGGCGGTCCAGTATTAGCAGCGAGATTGACTGAGGTCTTAGGTAGAATCTGGGAACTGGACGTAATTCCATCTGACTGGTCTCAATCACTGATTGTGCCAGTCTATAAGAAAGGACGAAAGTCCTCTTGTGACAATCACAGAGGAATTAGTTTGACTAATATAGTGTCTAAAATATTAGCTTCTATAATACTTCGACGTCTAACCAAAGCTCGTGAAGAGCAGACTAGAGAAAACCAGGCTGGTTTTCGACCTGGACGGGGTTGTATAGATCAAATATTCGCACTACGTCAGGTCCTAGAATATAGACACACATTGAGACGCCCCACAATCGTAGTATTTCTCGACCTTAAGGCGGCATTTGACTCGGTTGATCGTGAGGTTCTATGGCAGTGTTTGTCACTGAAAGCAGTACCAAAGAAGTACATCAATCTTATAAAGGCTCTCTACTTGAACACAACTGGTCGAGTGAGAGCTTATGGTGAACTGTCATCAGAATTGATTACCTCAAGTGGTGTTCGTCAGGGCTGTCCACTCTCTCCATTCTTGTTTAACTTTGTCGTTGACGTCCTTTTAGAGATGACACTTTCCTCATCTAAATTTCCAGGAGTTGAACTTCTACCGGGAGATCCACTTGTTGACTTAGAATATGCCGATGACATAGTTCTATTTAGTGAAGACGCTGACAGAATGCAGAGTCTGCTGACCACTCTAAGCAACAATGCAGGCATGTTCGGCATGCGATTTTCTCCCTCGAAATGCAAAATGTTGGTTCAGGATTGGGTTGCGTTGACACCCGAACTAGTGATAGGGAGTGAAGTAGTTGAGCGTGTCGACCGCTTCACTTATCTCGGAAGTCTCATCAGCCCTTGTGGTTTGGTGTGACGAAATCTCAGCACGGGTACAAAAGGCTCGACTAGCTTTTGCCAACTTGCGTCATTTGTGGCGTAGGCGAGATATCCGTCTATCAACCAAAGGACGTGTTTACTGCGCAGCAGTTCGTTCCGTCCTACTTTATGGCAGTGAAACATGGCCAGTAAGAGTAGAGGATATTCGTAGGTTACTAGTATTTGACCATAGGTGTCTTCGAAACATCGCTCGTATATCCTGGGACCACCGAGTAAGTAATGCAGTTGTTAGGAAACGGGTACTAGGTAAGGATGGCAAATCAATTGAGGAAGTAGTGAAACTTAATCAGTTGAGATGGCTGGGACATGTGTTGCGCATGCCCGACCACCGACTGCCCCGACATGCTATGTTTTATGGTGTATGAGTAGGTTGGAAGAAAGCTAGGGGCGGCCAGACCAAAACATGGCACAAATCCATGAAGTCACTGACAAGTGGACTGAGTCATGTTGGTAGGTGTAGACTACCTGGTTGGGGACCGCGAGACGATAGCAACCGATGGTTAGAGACCTTGAATGACATGGCTCAAAATCGTTTGCAATGGCGCAGGTGCATCCACTCTTTGTGTTCTCTCAAACTCTAATCTTCTGAATTCTTCATGTCCTTTATTTTCTTTCCCAATTTATTCCACTGGACTATACTCTTTTAATAACATCATTAAACCTTAATGTCCCCTATCTCTACTTATACTTTCAGTACCCCTACGACTATGGGATTTGAATTGATAACTGAATCTCTGTGCTAATGTGGTATGGCAACTCGAACTGATGTACGTACGTACGTATGAAGTTCCACGTTGTTACTGACTGACTATTTTAGTACTGTTGATACACTGTTTTACACCAATTCACTGGGTGTATGAGGATCTACCATTATTTTATGTGTGCTTAAATGTAAGTCCGGATGTCAAGAAAAACCATAACTTCGCATTAGTCACAACATCTTCCAACGAAAAGAAGCGAAAGTCAGAGACGGGTGACATTGCACAACTAAACACATAGGAGATAAGCAATGCGAAACAGGATGGTCAAAAAACGGAGACAAGGAAATCGAATAATTTTGAGTCATATCATGGAGGATTGTCAAACACCAAATTTTAGCATTTTTAGAGCCTAGTCATTAAACAGTTACTTCCTTACACTGTTCAGAATGGCAGTTGGAATCTTTACTCAGTATGCTTACACTCTGGCTTTTTGGAATCTACATACACCTAACCAATGTTGGAGTACAAGATGGAAGAGTAACACTGGACCTACTTTAATCGGCTCTGATTCATCCGATGGATTAACTTTATTTCATTAGTGAAAATACTTTTACCAACTCGAACGTTGCTGATTATGATTTTATCGAACGAAATGTTTCTAAAACAAAGTTGAATGACCAGTAAGATTTAATGTCATTTAAGTCTAACGGTCGATTCTAGTAAACGCGAGGTAGAAAAAACACTTTCCAGTGCTACATTATGTCTAAATAGTCACAGAAACCGGAACATGTGGTATTATCAAAAGTAAACTGTACGTTAGATTCACCAGACTCCCACGAATATAACATGAAGAGACCAGTGCTTAAGCAGTAACTGGTCGCTGGACCAGACTATTACTAGTGATTATGTGTGAGGCCATTAAAACAGACCATCGTCTTCATACTTGAAGAGTTTTTACAAAATAGGAGTTTCTAAGTAAATTTTATTTGTTGACACTAATCGAGTTTATTAAGTTCGTATAAATTGAAGTGACGTAGTCTGTTGTCAAGTTTATCCTTGTACAAATACCTGCTGTCTTGTTTCCTTCATTTGTTTATCTCAAAAAGTATTTTTACGCTATTATTATTCTTGACAACGGATTAAACAAAAACTTACATCGTATTTTCATTTGTTTTGATTGCAGATGATACTTCAACCATTACCACTATACATACAACGTTTAATTGCTACTTATGTAAGTGCTGAACACTTTTCCACTGTGAAATTATATAATATTTATGGTCGTACTACTTATACTTAATGTTTGAACACCGTTGTAATTCCTATGGCTACAAAGTGACACCATTAGTTGGTATGTATTTTTTTTTGTTTTAAATTATATAGTCAGTTTGGGGTATATTAATCGTACTTATGCTATGGTTACCTACAGAAGTTATTCGGCATTCCTTTCCTAAATTCCTGCCATTTCGTATTAACGCAGCTTAGTAAGTTTTGGAAAAAGCAGTAACTATGTACAATAATTTACTCTATTGTATTGTGTATGTGATTATAAATATTTTAGAAATAAAATTGAAGCTCTGGTCTTTATATTCCAATTGTTTTTAAAGTGGAACAGTGGTGTTTAGTGGGTAAAGGGTCCACGTTTCAACTATTGGTTGTAAGTTCGTGCCCTTTCTAATTTCACTTCCTTTTGGTAGCCTTTTTACTAGTTATTATATAGAACAGGTCACAAATTTGAGACTCGCTCAACGTACTTCGGTTTACTCAGTTGGATATCATCCCTGGCCCACAGCGAAATACACAAATCCGTACATCATAAATTATTTAATTCATTAACAAATCCCACCGGAGACAAAATTGCGGACCCTCAGGGATTTTCAACGATCTTTTATTATTCAGACCAATAAGCTGGCATCCAAATGTTTATATTTCTAATTCTGATTGTATTGCAATATTGCACAGCTATCATCCAGTACTATTAATGGGCACCTGCCTTACACTTAAATCAGTTAAGTTCCATTAACCATAGCTTTTCACTAGAACTTGGAGATTACCTCTGAAAATTTGTCATAACATGACTGTTTTTGTGTAAGAATTCTGTTGAACTTCATAGTTTACATCGCGGACCAACCTTAGTCAACCATTGAAAACCAGAAGACACTAGATGGCTTTTTCATTCTATTATGAAACTGCTCAGTAGTCCTTATATACGACCTCACTGAGGGTCTGGCTCACCATCTTCAGTTCTCACGCGAGCGCCTAACCTTTAGGTAGATTGACCAGAGTTAAACATGTGAACTATAGACTGTTCTCCGCAATTGTCCTGAATTTAGGCGGTCTCTGCACTATCTGGAGTTCCTATGTGTCCGATCCACCGTGGAGTCGCAGATGGTGATGCTGAGTAGTTCAAAGCTAAAACAGCAACTGTCCAAGGGTAGTGGACGCTACTCACTTGTAGGTAGTATTTAGTAGTCATCAAGCGGAGTGAAAAGTTTTTGTACATTGAAAGCTCAACTTAGGCACAACATTTGATGACCAAACGAGAAGATAGTTTGGATTTCAGAACACAGCAAGATTCTAATTGAAGACCGAAGACTATGTATACAAATTATGTAAACGCTTTGTAATTTCCAATGGTCAATTCTTTTGCCCATTGTCCTGTTCCGCACCAGTAGTTCCTGGTTCAGAATGGTTATCTTAATAAAATCATTTCGTGATGTAAATACTTCCCATCAACCCCCCACGGTAAGAAATCATATAAGGATGCCTAATAAAGGAATTAAAATGTTCATATAAACCTGTAAAACAAAAATTAGCGTTTCTTTGAAGAGCTTTAATACCTTAAATATTTTATAAGTATCAAGATTAAAAAACAACTAGTGAGTGCATAAAAAAGACACAGTAAGTAACGTATGGTTTACCTCTGAAATTTTGATATAGCTGAATTATAAATGACATATTGAAAATACATTTTGTCATATTTCGGTTATTACATTAGTTCTCTGAATTTTGAAGTTTAACAAACTTAGGTCACTTAACAAAACAGATGAATTTATTTATAAAAGATGTTTAATTTTTTTCTAATTTAACATGTAAAGGTTTAGATTATCCTATTGTTCGATGCCGGAGTGAACACCAACCCTAGGATGCAGGTACATGCAGCTTACAAGTCTTAAATAGGACAAAAGGCACATCCTAAATTCCACTGCTAGCTGCATTCCATTTATTCCGTTTAATTTCTTCGTTAGGCTGATTCATTATTACTACATTTTTATCTTTTTGGTATACTCATGTTATTGTTTGTATGCTTTTATTCAAGTGACAGTCCATTGGATTATTCATTGGAAATGATACTATTACAAGTTGTTCTACCATTCTTATTGGATAATCAAGCTAAAACAACACTTCGTCAAATTTTACGTTGGTGGTGTATATGTGTATCATGGTTGCTTGGTTTACGTAGTTACTTACTCGGTGATATTCCATTTTCACCAGGGGTTAGTTGATTTTCATTATTTTATTTTAATGTTTGTACAAAAGAAAATGTATGCGTAGTATTTCAAGGTGCCACCAATCAAATAAAATGATCACAGATAACAAAATAAATACTAGGAAGTGAATTAGTAAATGGTTACAGTAGTAGTATGTTTTACATTCTGAGGATCGCAAATTGTGGGTATTATTCAATGCTGTTGGTCATAGGTTTTGTTTATTTATCTTTCTAATCATGTTAGAGTCAAATAATTCTAATTCTGTTGGTTGAACTCATTCTATGGATCCATAACGTAAACAGTTGAGGTATTGACTACTAGATTAAAATGTGGTCCCGCTATTTGGTAAATATCGCTATGTGAGAATCCGTTGTCCTAATTATTAACATTGTCAGGAATGCCTTGGAAATTTTAGAGCTTTTCTCCACTTCTAAAATATAATCTTGTATCGTTTTTTTGACCACCAGTCTGTGCTTAATGTATAGGAAAGGGGAGAGTTTTCTTGATCCATGTTATGACCTTGACGTGATAGGTTGCCTCATAATATCTTGAGACTTGTAACATGTGAGTTCGATTTGTATTTGAGGGAGATTGAGGGCAAAGTAGAGGAACTTTGCTACCAGTAACGTATGAGTTGACTGGTTGGCAAGAGTAAAAAAGACTACTTAACTGGAACCCCCTCTCTGACTTATTCTTGATTCGATTAACTCAAAATAGGTGTATGAATAAATATATAACTGACAGGACTACAACCCACAAGGAATGAGAAAAATACAATTCTATCCAAACTAGGGTATTAGAATTGAAAAGAAAGAATACAAAGTACTGCAATTTTGGAATAAAGAGGAATATAACAGTAATTTATATATTAAATGAAAGCATATGATTCATAAATTACAGCAGACATCTAAATGTTAATACATTACAGATTCGAAATTCAGCGAGACAATGTCGTAAAAACGTCCGTTGTTTGTAATTGCTTCTTTATTCCTCTCTTCAAAATAAATTGAATTGCTATTTTTTTCACGACAAAATATTCAAGACAAGATATCTTTTTATTATCTGAAAAAACTCTTCAGCAATCCACCATCTCACCATAGTGCATGCGATGTTAAATTATGTAGACTAAAGGTCACATTACAGTTTAATCGATCGAATTCGATCAATATTATATATATATCCTACGTATGACTAATCTTATACTGTTCACTTCATATTCCTTCTGGAAACAATTAGTGTCATTGTTGCTGCTATGGAATATCGTGTACTTTAAGAACCAACATTTAAAACAACTGATAACATAAGTTTGTGACAGTAAACAAATCAGTTATAAATTAAACGATATAATAATATGTTATATCCTAACGAAGAATAAATAAAGGGTAACTACTAGGAACTATTTATGAACTATTAATATATATTTTTATTGTATGACTATTAAGCAACTAGATTATTACCTACTTACGCCTGTTACCCCTTGTGGAGTAGCGTAGGTCGTCCAACGCGACTCTCCATCGAACTCTGTCCTGGACAATCCTTTCCAGTAGCTTCCAGTTGCTATTCGTTGTTTATGACTACCTGTACTTCCTTGACGATGGTTGCAGTAGTTCTCCAAGTTTCAACTCCGCACAGTAGAACTGTCCCGACATTCGTGTTGAGAATTCTGGTTTTGATATTGGTTGACAGTTGTTTTGAGTTCCAGATGTTTTTCAACTGTAGGAATGTCGCTCTCGCTTTATCGATCCCCACCTTTACATCTGCATCGGATCCTCCTTGTTTATAGATGATGCTGTTCACCTGTTCCAGATTTCTTGTTTGATCGTATTGTCATCCTTATATAAGTACACTCGTCTTTTGAGATAAATTATTCTTATATAGAAGGCTTTTGATACTACTAGTTGGTTAATTAAACCTAGGGATTAAAACAATTCCTATGGTGCAAATTAGAAGAACTCATATGTATATATAAGCGAATAATATTGTCTTCAATTAAATTTTCACGCTTTTCTCTTATGTACAGTCATGTATTTGTATCTATAGCAAATATTAAACCAGTGAAAGCAGTTTCTGACTCAGTAACAGCAATGAAAAAAACGATTATACGACTAAACATTAGTACAAAAAAAACACAAGTTTATATTAAAATGAAAATTGTGCTACCAGATGTGATAAAAATAACTACAGCTTAAATCACTAATTAAATGCTTGGAAAATAGAAATATTAAAATAACGACCATTAAAAACCATTAAAATTAGGCAATCAGAAGTTTTAAAATATTGAAATAATGAAGAATGTATACAAATAAGGGTGAAGAGAAACATATAAGCCTAGAATATTGTAAATAATATTTAATAAAATCGCTTATTAAGCTTTGTGCCGTCAAGGTTGAAGCGACAGGATTGTATGAACAATTTTATAAACACATAGACTAAAGGTGTAGACACAGACCCTTATAATATCTGCTGTATGTAACATACGAGAATGAACCATGTTGAGGAACAACAAAGGTATACCATAGATTACTCATGATAATTTACTTTTAGATAGTATACGATTATTGTTGGTCAAATATAATATGGCCCTACTTATTATGTATGTGATCCTACCCAAACCACATAATGAAATGTTTATTTATCTGTTGTTTAAGTCGCGTTGACAAGCTTTTTTCACAGGAGCATACGAATTTGTAAATATATTCCGAAAAATAAAAATCAAGGTATTCATTCTTTGTTAGAGTAATTACCACCGATGGTCTATCAAGAAGTATTGTTTATATCGACATGTTATTCATGAAAATGTAATGATCGTTTTAAATTAATTGGATACGGTAAAGTAATTGGCCATCAATTATTTATTGGATACCAGCATATAATACACGGAATTGCATTTTGCCGTATTCTTATTATACGATTGATGTATGTTGTTTTTCACATCTCATTAATCTTAACGTTTAACAAAAATTCACTGCTGAGAATTAAAAATTTATTTATATCATGAATTCATTGTGTAAGCAACTTGAGTAAACTTTTCTTGTAACAGCTTTACTTAATGTTTATTGGTTTAGGATTTTATTGTTACTGAAAATGGAACAGAAGTACCATACAAACGACGTCGAAATTCTCATAATCAAACATCTAATTTAAATAGTCATTCGGGATTCGTGTCTGTAGAATCGTCTCAACAGATATTGACTAATAAACCAGACGATATTTCGACAGATTTGTATGCTCCAAATTTATCATCGTCATCATCATATGGACAGATTACTTTAACAAATAATCCATGTCGTGAACAATCCCAACCTGAACATAATGAACAAGATAACGTTAATCATGCACAAGCTGATTATGATAATGATGATGATACAGATTTTACACGTTATGTTCCATATAAACGAGGCAATTTCTTCAAATTACGAATTATTGGCTTAATTCTAATCTTAATTACTAGTTTGATATGTTTAAGTTCAACTGTACTAATTGTACCAGTTGGTATTGGACGTTTATTATTGTTGAATTTAAGCGGAACTGGTTCTACATCGAAGCATGATGCTATCGCTTTAGTCGGTGGATTCACTGTTCTGGGAGTAATTCTCCGTCTAGCTCCTTGGTAAGTTCTCTTGTCTGAGCATACCACTATACATATATCAGAAGGGGTTTTGTGGAGATTTTAGTAATTTCAATAGTTAAAATCATGAGTCGATTGGAACTTGACGGACGTTTCGTCCTGGTATGGGACTCCTCAGCAGTGCACATCCACGATCCCGATCCAAACCCGGGACCTATCAGTCTCGCGCGTGAGCGCTTAACCATTAGACCACTGAACCGGCATCCAACGGTGTTAATATCTAACTTCAATATATATATATATATAATGTTTTTTTCTGTAGATATTTATGTGCTCCATTGACCATGAGCTTATAATTTTTATGAATGAATAGTAAGTTCTGTCGAAATATGGTTTATGTAGTTTCGACAATAATATAAATAACTATGTGTTCGTTAATTTGAGCTATATTTAATACTATAAGTTACCTGAATTGTAGGGTTCACGATTCAATACTTATTTTGATTTTTTCTAGTATAACAATTGTATAATTGTTGCCTAAATATGAGTAGAAACTGACTTTATTTGATTTTAGTGTAATCGATATCCAACACTATGGTGTTTACCTGAGATTAGACGCAGAGTATGAGGTTAGTGTAAATAATTATTTGAAAAGATAGTAAATCTTTATCAACTAAGAGATAGCTAAGACATCTTATGCTCTCATCCACTGACTACCTCGATGCGCTTTGATGGTTATTGTATGAGTAATTTAAAAGGAAGCTGGGGGAGGAAGCTAAACCAAAGCATGATATCAGTTCATGAAGACACAACTTTTAAATAGGTGTAGACTACCTGGTTGGGACCAGCAAGATTATCATATCCAATGGTTAAAGACTAAGTGAAGTAGCTCAAAATCGTTCTCAATGGCTCAAATGCATGCACTATTTAGCTTCCATTTATTCCTGAGTTTATAAATTCGTCTAATTTTGTTTTATTACCATTGTAATTGTTATTACTTCTACTATTTTGAAATATGTCCTGTACGATGTCACTTCATTGTGCGAATGCTTCATGGACATTTAAACAGATCTACAAATGCGTCAGGTTCTATGTTGCGTTTAACTGACTGTATAATTCACTAAAAAAAAACTGAAATGCTTTGCAAAAGGATTTTTCTCATTGTTTTAGATTTCAAAAGAAAAGTTTTAGTTGAGTAGTGTTATCTCTCGTTTCTGGCTGTTTGCAGAATATACTTCCCCATTCCGAGTTTGGACTTCTTCCTCTAGTTTGTGGGGCTGGGACGCATCAAAATATCTAGCTTATTGGTCTTTGGTCACCGAATCTTTGCTCTCGTTCGCAGATTAAGTGAACTCGTGATAGCTTTGGTGACGGTGGTTTCGGAAACATGGATCTTTCTAAACTTGAATTATTACTCGAGAAACAGTTGAAACTAATGCAGATGTTGACAGATATCAAGATTTCGCCTCCCACACAGCCTAGTACATCTAATGCAACCACAACACCATCAGTAGACGGCATCGCAAATAGCATTGCCAAGTTTCATTATGATCGTGATGCTAACGTTACTTTTGAGATGTGGTTCCGGCGTTATGAAGACCTATTTAAATTTGATTTTGCTAATCAGAATAATGCTTGGAAGGTTCGGCTGCTACTTCGGAAGTTGGGTGCAAGTGAGCCGGATAGGTACTGTAATTTGATCCTGCCTTTGAGCCCACGTGATCGCTCATTCGCAGACACAGTCCAGCCATTAAGCCAACATTTCAGCGACAACTCATCATTGTTTAATACTCGTTATCAATGTTTGAAGCTAATTACGAACGAAGATGATGATTTTCTTACTCATGTGGGCATCGTCAACCGTGAATGCGAACGCTTCCAGTTGAAGTCTTTGTCTGAAGACCAGCTTAAAGCCCTCATCCTCATTTCCAGCCTCCAGTCCCAAAAGTTCAGTGACATAAGAACACGGCTGCTGTGTCGACTGGATCAAGATCCTAAACTCACCCTTGGTGACATGGCCAATGAATACCAACGCCTCATTAATCTGCAACGTGACACGACTATGATTCAGAGTGGTGGTACTAGTCGATCTGAAGTACGAGCAGTGCAACAGATACCTAAGAGAATAAATGTGCCCCTGCTACACCCAGTCCATCCCACTCCAGCTCAATCCGGCAGACCAAAACGAACTTCCCTGCTCTTTGTTGGCACTGTGGTGCATGGCACTATGTACGAAACTGCCCATTTAGGCAACATCGATACAGGAAATGTAAAGCTGTGGGTCATAAAGATGGGTTTTGTCAAAAAAAGAAGCCAAACAGCTCCAGAAGTACCAGGAAGAATGTCCCTAAATCCTGCACGAACTCGTTGAGTCGAGTAGCAACCTGTCAGAACTCAACCACAGGTGAGAAGAATTTATTACTATTAATATTAATGGACATCCGTTTAGATTGCAAATAAACACTGCATCTGACGTAACAATTCCCTCACGAAAATGTTGGGTCAGAATGGGCAGACCATGCACTGTGCCAACAACACAAAAACCTCGTACTGCATGCGGTAATTACTTACGTTTGTTGGGACAACTAGATTGTAATGTGTCTTTTCACGATCCGACGTTTACCGGGGTGTTACATCACACCAGCCGATCTTAATCTACTGGTTCAAATTGGTTTGACCAGCTACATTTAGCCAATGTTCCGTTAAGCACCGTATACAATCTAGTGAAACAACCTCATGAACCTGAAACATATTCGGAAGAACTAATGACGGAGTTGATATAGAGCGATGAATTCCATTCAATTGATTGTTCCACAATGATCCGTAGAGTTGCAGTTTGGTCTTTACACTATCAATTATTACCGAATCCAGTCCTTCATCCTGTTTAACAACACCCTGTTGAAGACTTTTCCTGATATTGAGAGAAGAGTGATGCCTCTGTAGTTCTCACATTTGCTGAGATCGCCTTTCTTTGGTATCTTGACCAGGCGTTCTTCTTTTCAGTCTGTTGGTGCTTGTTCTTCATACCAAATCTTGCTGAAGAGGATGTGGAGTATCTTCGCAGTTACTGCTACATCTATTTTCAGTGCCTCTACTGGAATGTTGTCTGGTCCCGCTGCTTTGCCACTCTTGATTTGTATGATGACCATACTGATCTCTTCAATTGTTGGTGGGCCAACATGGATTGGGAGGTCCGTGAGTGCTGCTTCGATGTTGGGTGGGTTCAGTGGGGCTGGTCTATTCAAGAGTTCTTTGAAGTGTTCCACCCACCCGTTTCGTTGTTCTTCAATGTTGGTGATTACCTCGCCTTCCTTACTTTTCACTGGTCGTTCTGGTTTACGGTGATTTCCAGCGAGTTTTTTGTTGTATCATACAATTGTCTCATGTTTCCTTCTCTTGCAGCCTTTTCCGCCGTCATTGCTAGATCTTTCACATATTTATGTTTGTCGGTTCTGATGCTCCTCTTCACTTGCTTGTTTACTTCTGTGTATCCAGCTTGTGCCTTGGCTTTCTCTGCTCTTGTTCGGATGATATTGATTGCTGCCTTCTTGTTCCTCCTTTCGTAAACCTTATCCAGTGTATCAACAGTGATCCATCCTTTGTGATGGTGCTTCTTGTGCCCAGAACCTCATGACATGTGATCGCCCATTTGATCCCTTTCCAGTTGCTGTCCACAGTAGTTCCCTCTATTGAATAGATCGTGAAAGGCCTGGAACCTATTGCTAAGGGCAATCTTGAATTTGTTGAGTTTTTCAGTATCCCAAAAGAAAAGCCGTATTAAACTTTTGTGATATTGTCCGCCCCATTGTCCAGGGCTCCTTGAGTTTCAATTTCGTCTTGGCGACCAGCAAGTGATGGTCTGATGCTATATCAGCTCCTCTCTTGGTTCTCACGTCCTCCATCGTCCTCCTGAACTTTTTGTTGATGCAGACATGGTCGATTTGGTTTTGCGTAGTGTGATCCGGTGAAGTCCATGTGGTTTGGTGGATGCGCTTATGTGGGAATATAGTGCCGTCTATGACCAGTTTATTGAAGGCACATAGGTTTGCAAATCTCTCACCATTTTCGTTCCTTTCTCTCAGTCCATGTCGTCTCATGATGTCTTCATATCCAGTGTTGTCCATTCCAACCTTGACATTTAGGTCTCCTATCAGAATGTTCAAGTCCTTTGTTGAACACTTATCAACGATTGACTGCAGCCTATCGTAGAATTGATCTTTAACGTCTTCATTGTAGTTGTTGGTTGGCGCGTAGCATTGGATGACGTTCATTGTAATGCCCTCTTTCTTTGTTTCGATAGAGGCTTTGATGATCCTGGGTCCATGAGATTCCCATCCTATAAGTGCATTTTGTGCTTGTTTGGATAGCATCAATGCAACTCCTTGTGTATATGGGGCATTTTCTTCTTCATATCCGGAGTATAACAGCAGTTCCCCTGAAGCTAGTCGTTGTTGTCCCACTTGCGTCCAATGTGTTTCACTGATTCCAAGCACCTGCGGGTTGTATCTTTTCATTTCTGCAGCAATTAGGATGACTCCTGGTCTCCCACATTGTACTAGCATTCTATATACCTAAATAAATGTTTGCTCTGGTTGTCAGAAGGGGAATCGGCCTCATGGCTTTCAAAGGAACTCGGCTTTCACCATAAGGCGTCATAATTCTTTTAAACGAAGACCTTCTGACTCCCAGGGCAGAGTTTGAATGGTTTGAATAATTTTTTTCTGGTTAGCGTTTTTTTAGCTAGTTAGTTTTCTACTGGATGTGGTCGCTAACCCTACGCCCAACCCTCCTCCTCTATCCGGGCTTGGGACCGACAGTAGCCCCCGGAGGGACTACAGGCGGAGTTCACTTGAATCACTGTACAGTATATTTTAATTTTATTCGTTTTTTTTTTAATTCTTTAAACGTATATACGTATATCATACTTACGTTTCAGCATACCGTATCTTTTCAATGGAATTTATCGAATTATTATGTTGATTGGTCAAAGTGGTAGTTTAATTAGTTGGTCTAGACCATTACGTGTATTTAGAATTTGGACTCGTTTAGGTACAACATGTGAAATTACAATACGACGACCAGCATTACCAATGGCTCCTATGATTGATTTGAATCGACATTATGGATTTCAATCTACTGCGGATACGAATATTGGAATACATCTACAAAATTATCTACGAATAGTAATAAATTGGTTACGTCTATTTTGTATTGCTGTAGTATGTCTAGGCATTCTCCCAACAGCTTTAGGATTATTAATCAACTTCATTTTCATTGCACCCTTCCGTATTGGACCAAAGAAAACGATTATTATTGGGTTTTGGGAGGTTTGTTCTTATTATTGTTATTATTACTTATTTATTATTATTATAGTCTAATTAAAATTTTCAGATAACTCAAACTTCCAAATCCACTCATTCGCCATCCATCTACTTAGTTGTAGACCTGCATTTTGTGCTAAGAAGTTAATCATAAACTAAATCAAAGCAGACTGTCCATCTATCATCGGCTTTAAACTGGCTTCTCACTGGTTGATTGGGTAGAGGTCAATGATGACAACTACTCTTTACAAAATATGCGTAATACTGCTTTTTCAGATCTGGTATCTAGTCCCGATTCGCGGATATAAGTGAAATCCACCTTTTTGCAAATAATTTGAAATTTTACATTTATTTGTAGTACTAATTTAATTTGTATATTTGCTAACTTCATAATGGGTGAATGATTTCTAAACTTGAAAATAATCTACATTATCATGTATCCAAAATTAAAACATTCGTTTTTACATCTTGATAGTTATTCAATCCAAAGAAATTCTTCGACAGAACTATCTTTAAGTGGGTTTGTGAAGATTGCTGAATATAATAGTGTACATCTTGGACTGACCTTGATTAGACAACATTGTTAGCTCGTCATCTAGACCATATATTTCTGAAAATTCCACAAACCCCGTTTACCAATAATGACCATGTGTCAGTAGGGACTAAATATGCTACATAATACTTGACCAGTGCTGTCCAACCATGTCGGGTGTCATTAAAAGTTAGTTGCGCAATACCTCGAATTAATTGAAGATAGTTTTCAACATATATCTAATTACAATAATAGACCTAGTTTAGCTACTGACTAGTCTTTATCATTGTCTCTATTCTTTTAATTTTTATAGCATTGGATATTTGGTATTATGCATTTAAAAGTGGTTATCTTACTTACTCTTCTTGGACCGCCATGGTGGTTACGAAATCGTTTAGAATTATTTCATGATGAAATTACACATCGTCGGCAAGATGCTCGTTGTATGCGTTTACTTTGGGCAATTGCACCATTGCTTGTAACTATTGGACTATCATTAAGTGTACCATATTTATTAGCTTATTATATTAGTCCATTAATCGGTAAGATTTTTACCTGGCTGTTATACAGCGTATTTTTCAAGAATCCTGATTGTTTATTTATTGTGTTGATTGCTTTTAAAGTACATATATTTTTTATTATCAACTTATTATGCTATAATAATGATATTGTTTCATATTCCTTTATAAGCAAATATCTAGACATTTGTATACGTGTCTCTCATATCTGTTCGTTAACGTCAGTAAGCAGTAGTAAATCGATTACATTCTACGTAATACTACGTTTTGTTCATTACAATATTTGCTGTATCGATTTTCAACAATTCCTAATTAGAGACGACTGAGTTCTACGGGATTTTGGTGTAGATCATTAGACAACTGTTACATTACACTTTAACGGTAATCCCTTTCACTATGGAAAAGTCAGATTATGAAAAGTCTCACATTCAAGATAAATTTATAGTAGAATATCTTCATATATATAATAACAAAGCCATGACCTTGGGGAATAGAGTAAAATTAGCAGGATAGGATACGTGTCCGTAAATCTGTAGTGTATCTAGCACTCAACATACAGTGTGTAGTATTAAGCATTTTCTGTTCACTTAGTGGGCGAGTGTGACATATAAAACCATAATTTTCACTGGGAACTTCATGTCAAGTCGTAACTTCTACTTCTTTTGCTTTTTCATCTGGCAAATTGATATGCGTTACATTGGCTTGTTTGTTGAAGAGATATGCAGGTGGCTTCAGATAGTCAAAATGAAATCCTGAGTGGAAATTATGCTCTTATTGGTAGCATTCACCAACTAAATAATCGAAAATGTTAGATACTGCACTTTATTGAACTTGAAAAAAATGATAGTTATCCTCGCATAAAATTACAAATACAAACTATCAAATAGCGGTAAAGGTTATTAAGGAAAAAAAATTATCGTGGATATTTCTATCATAAAACGTCGGATAACAAGGTCCTCTTTAAAAAGTTTATGCACATTCTATTAATTCGATTCAACCCCTTCCTACTTTGTGGTATGAGCAATAAATGAATAAAAACAAAACAGGGTCATTTTTAATTAATTTATAGTGGTTTGGGATATTTTGCCTCAAATTCGATGTAATAATTCGCTAATGTGCTTCCTGTATGGATTGTCTTGATATAGCTGTCATGATATGAGTTTTAATAAAATAAATGGTATCAAGACTATTTTACGTTCTATATCATTAACTTCCTTTCAACTTATGTACAATTATATACTACTCATTAATATTCAGTAAACAGTTCTAGCGCACGTTTATCGTGTATTGTTCCATAATATTTACATATACGTATAACATTTATTGCATGTCATTTAATTACTTTCTCTTAATCCTTGTAGCAGCAATTCGTATAGTCGTCTAATCCTTGTTTAAACGCAATAGTTTCCATATTGTTTGCTCTTGGTTCAGTTTTTGCTTGTTGGTAGACTGTTAGACAGAGCTATTAGCTGTCATTTGCATTATCGTATGTTGTGATTATTCTTTACGTTATTATTACAGAGAGCCTTTCCTATTTCAGACTTACAGATCCCTCACAAGTTGACGTTTGTGGCTAAATCATGCTTACTATCCAATAAAGAACAGATTTTTAGACAAATCGCTGTTTTGTGCGTATCTCAATTGTGTGATTTAGACGCTCCGATAGATTTAACAGATAAAATATGCCTAGCAGTATAACTCAAGACATTCATCTCGTTTTGCTTGAGGCACGTCATCTGAATTCACCTGCATCCCAGAGTTGATGTTAACTTACTCAAACCCAGTATCTATCTAATATATATACTCTGCAACAAAATGTGTCGAATCATAAATCATTGTTCTCTGTGGAGTTATGTATTGTCGATGATTGAGACACATTTGAATAAATTCACATCTTTTCATTTATCGGTTGTACTTTTACTGATAGGAAAACATACAGCTTAAAGCGAAATGCTAAGAATACAAGCTATATTTTGGTTAATTTTTCTTTAGCATCATTAGATAGGCAACCGTGTTTCAACGGCTTCTGATTATCGACCTGCATCTTATATTTCTAATGCAACATAGGCATATCTTTGTTCAATCAATACGTATGTTGAAGGTAGGCTGAAACAACTTCGCAGAAATATCCCATGTGATGTAATGTAATGTTTTTAACGATATATTTATATATCACTATTACCTACGTAATAATAATTTTTTTATTGACTTGTTTATTTCCCTACAGCATTAGATAGAGAAGTTGCGTTTCGATACATATATCCATTTCTTTTCGCCTTGTTCATCTCGTCAGTGTTACTGACTCTGTGTATCGACCAAATTCGACGTCTTTATTTGCATATTAAAGATGAAAAGTAGGTTTGTAGTAAAAATCTTATTCTATGTAGTTGACTATTTCAAACATCAAATATTTGTTCAATAAATAGGCAAAATATTAAGGTCATAACTTCACATTTTCCTCGTCATTTGTGACTGCAATCTCGATTTTCGATTATTTCTGAACATCTTCAGAAGTTAAGCATTTCTAGTTAGTAAAGTGACGAATTTTGGAAAAATTCGAGTCAATAATACGTATAATAGAACTACAGGCTTGATTGGCCGGTAACTGAATAGATGAAAGCCAACCAAGTCAAGATGACTGCAATCATTGAACGCATAAATACAATGAGATATGTTGTTGATTAAATTCTGTTATAATTAACATATATTAGCTCATATCGCTTGCTGAACAGACAGATCATGTTTACTCATTATGTATTACATAATTACTTATGTAATCATACGAAAAAAGATATTACCAGTCTCAAAGATAATGTATGTCTCGCTGATTATTGCGTAATATCTTACAAAACAGGCTAACTATCTTTAATTTACTATCATAACTAACAACCGAACAGATTTAAAATAAAGAAATCTCAATTAAGTAAATGTTTGTTTCCGACAACATCGTTTACCTTAGCTATACATCCATGATCAAGGAGGTTAGAGAACAATAGCAGGATGAAAATAATTTACGGGTCAGAAATATGACATAATTGTTCACTTGACAGATATAAAGACGAAATGCTGATTTCGCCGTTCTCTTTATTTTTATCCAATGACAAAATAGATTAAAGTTTAAACCTATTACGCACATGAAATATTTAAACGCGCATAGATCCCTTTTATCCTAACTCATTTTAAGTTGTATTTATGAAAATCTTCAGATTTTTTGAAAAATAATTTTTTAGATATTTAGTTGGCAAACAACTGCTTAATTTTCGACCATCGCCAAGTCAATCATTAGTTCCGTCGTCATCATCATGACCATCCAATTGCAAGTTAGTTAATTTGGACATACACTACTAATTCACACTGTCTAGACATGTAAAGAGCATCACTTGATATTTTTGGAAGAAGCCCACAACTTCACTCTGGAACAACATTTTGTTCTCACTAATGATATTTACTGTTTCGAACAACCCAACATTTTTAAAAAATATCACTGTTAGAGTATTATTTTGCATACACAATAAATATACAAATCCCCAACCCGGGCACAAAAACAAGTACACTGATTAATGATCTTTGATTTATTCTGTACTTAAGATATTTTTTCTCGATAAAAAAAAACAAACAAACGCGACTATACAATATTTATGAAAATACATGTTTTCAAATTTTTCTTACATCAATTTTCTCATGCCTTTTTGTTTTCACTTGAATATGCTTTTGAAGATAAAAAGAAGGTATAAAAATAATAGCAAATTAATGACAGATGCATAATATAAACTGTACCAAATAGTTAACAAATGGGTTAATACAATCCGCATACGCTCTGCGAAAATACATTTTCCAATTAGTGTGTACACTGTTACTATTATAAAGTATATTATATAACACTTCTATATTACTATTCAATAATATTGTAACAGAAATGTATGTCGATCTATTAGTTAAACAGAAATGGAATATTATATTTTTTCTGTTTTTAACTGATATGTGAGACAAGTAACTTGTTTGATGACCCAATTCGTTTTGTACGGACTTGCCTTAAACATGTACGCTAGTTTTGTATCTACTAGTATGCAGATAGTCATACTCTTTCACTAATGTGTCAAACAACTAGAATAAGAGCTGTTACGTAATAATACACATCGGAAATTTCGACTACACAAAAAAATCATGATGTAGATTTAAAGATCACAAAATAAACAATTCTACACCCCTCTACTGAACTAGAACTTATACTAATAAATATGTGTTCACCAGTAACTTATTACAGAAGTTCAAATGAAACAAGGCTTATCTGTATTACTGGATGATAATCGCGAATCGTCGGAAATCAGAAATAAATATCATTAGATACCAACTCTGTGACTTGACGATTTTGGAGTTGTGCATACATACTGCTACAGCGAAACGACTACCTGGTTTCCAGTGATTCTCTATGATGTAAATATCGAAATTCAACAATCTCCACAAACACCTTACGATGAACTTATTAATTCAGATAACAATTTTTTTCTTAGCTGCTCAGAAGGACTTAACTAGTAGATTTTATGTTTGAATCACAATTAATCTTTTACTTCAGTTTGAACAGCCAGATAGTAAGCAGTCATACTCGTCATATGCACACAAACAGTTTGGCTCAAAGTTCAGTACAAAACTAGATAAATGAACAAATGATACTAGTTCACAAAGACATTATTTATTTTTGTGAACTTATAAGATTGTTGACTAGAATATTCATATATGTATGCATAAAATAGAGAAATCGGTATTAATAGTAACCATATATATATATATATATATATATATATATATATATAATGATAAGTGAAATTTTTCTTACCTTATTCATAAGCATCTTGACAGCTTCATCTTCTGCTGGGTCTGAAACACGAATGAAATGTGTTCCTGGACACCAGTTTACAAAGCGACGTGACTAAATTTTTTAAATAAAACGGTACTAGTTTAGTATATATCATTTTACAAATGTCATCTATAATCATATCTTAAATAAAACGAATTATGATTAAAAGTACTCTAGGTCGTGTTATAATGTGAAACTTAATTGTATGGCGCTATAAAATGGTAAATCGGTAGTGGATATTCATTGTTGAATTGGCTCGGATATGTGTTACGTATGCGCGACCACATTCTGTCGCGATGAACAATGTTGGTTGACATAGAAGTAGGATGCAGGAAAGCTAAATGTGCCCATAGCAAGACGTAACATCAACTCATGAAAGCACAAACTGTTCGGTTGAGCTGTGTCCGTAAATCCGGAGTGTGGTTGCGGTCTGCACAATAATCGTGACCAATAGTTATGAACCTTAAAGGAAATCGTCTAGAATCAGTCACAATGGAACGCATGCACTCAATTTATCTTGCACTAAATTTTGAGTTTCGAAATGATGCCATAATTTATATTCCGTAAAATTATTCTTCCAATATCAGGTTGGCTATACATAGTGTTTTCTACTACTACTGGTATTGTTAGTACTATTATTACTATAGTCTGGCATTTTTCCTGATTATTCCATCTGGTTGTGCGGTAACGTGAAACGAGTCACAAACGTGCTATGCTTTACACTACATGACTAGCCGGAAATATTAAGAATAGGATAGATGGACTAAATAATTAAATAGACTACTTAGAATTTGTTCAAGTTTATCAAAATTATATCGATCCAGACAGAACTGTCATCGTGAGAGTTGGCTGAAAAAAAAACATGAGAGGCCAAATAATAAAATGGTATCAATCTATGAAGTCACTGAGGCCTGGACTGGCCCGTTTTAATATGTGTACATGGTCTGGTTAGGGTCCGCATGATTATCGTAACCAGTGGTCAGATAATGAATGACATGACTCAAAATCGTTTTCAAACACACAGGTGCATACACCGTTACTGCTACCTTTACGTGGCCGTCGGGCTTGCCTATCGTAATGAACCAATCGGAATATACTGGTTGGAACAATCGTTCCTCAAGGTCCTACCATGCCAGACAGGTCGGTTGAAGAGCCGTAAGACTAAAAGCAGCAAACCCAAGGTCCGAGGGCGTAGTCATACTGCTGACTGTACAGAGAATAAAAGCGATGCCTTCCCACAGGGAGGTGTGGGGTTAGAAAAGGTCGACCCCAGGAATACACATCGCTTTATCCCACACATATCCGTCTCCGGCGGTAAGGTTTCAACAAGTACGCAGCTAACACAAAAACTACTCATAAAAAGGTCGAGTGTGACCGACGACAAGCAGATGTTGCCGGGGCATTGTGGTCACGCTTTTAGGTCACTAGAAGCACCTAACCCAGTTTCCCTTTTAGGCACCTCCAGAAGAACCCTTTCACGATCCAAACCGTCGTCTATGTGTTGCTCGGCTAAACGGCTCCGTAAGAAGTCGGAAGGGTGGAGACCCACGTTGTTGCCTTTTCGTCGTTTGTGTCTACGTTCCCACTGACTGCAGCCCGGATGAAGTGAAAGATGACTTTCACAGAAAACTCTCTGAACTTTTTCAGAAAGCTAAACGCTTAGACATTGTACTCGTAGCAGGTGACCTTAATGCCACATCAACTTATCGTCCCAATATTTAAGAAGAGGTCAAAATCATCCTGTGACAACCATAGAGGGATTAGTTTAACTAATATACTATTTAAAATACTAGCCTCGATAATTATCGGACGCCTAAGACTCGTGAACTGCGAACACGAGAGAATCAAGCTGGCTTCAGACCTGGTCGTGGCTGCATTGACCACATATTCACCATTCGTCAGGCTCTAGAACATAGACATGCATGGTGTCCGTCAAGACTGTCCACTATCTCGATTTTTGTTTAATTTCGTCGTAGACCTATTGTTCGAAATAACGTTCTTGTCGGCTGAATTTTCGGGAATCGATCTACCAGGAGGTCCAATTATCGACTTAGAATACACAGATTACATAGTCCTGTTTGGTGAAGACTGATAAAATGCAGATTCTTTTGGTAACAGTGGACATGGTGAATATGTGGTCAATGCAGCCACGACCAGGTCCGAAGCCAGCTTGATTCTCTCGTGTTTGCAGTTCACGAGTCTTAGTTAGGCGTCCGATAATTATTGAGGCTGGTATTTTAGATGCTATGTTAGTTAAACTAATCCCTCTATGGTTGTCACAGGATGATTTTGACCCCTTCTTATATATTGGGACAATCAGTTATTGCGACTAGTCAGATGGGATTACGTACAACTCCCAGATTTTAGCTAAAATATTAGTCAACCTAGTTGCTAGAATCGGACCACCATACTTAAAGACCTCTGGAGCCAATCCATCTGGACCAGCTACTCTTCCTCTTCAGATTGGAATGGCGGACCTACTTCAACGTTACATTCAGGCTGTTTGAGAATGGTATGTAGTTGTACAGTAGTTGGAGGCCAGCTGAACTGCTCCTTAAAGTGTTCCGCCCATCGTTCTAAACGTCTGGACTGAGAGCAGATAAGAACATCGTCTTTTTCCGAGATCGCCTCACTTACACTTGGCTTTTTAATTCTAGTTTCTTTTATTCGTCTGAAAAGCTGTCTGATTTTACCTACAGCGGCTGCATTTTCCATCTCTTTTGCTTTCGCTGCGCACCACTGCTCACGGTCATTCCTTAGACTCCTGGTCAACCTAGATCTGAATTGTTTTCGCTCATCATCGTGTCCAGAGCCTGATAGTATGTTTACGAGAATCCGTCAGTGCAATCGATTTAGTAGAAATCCATTGGTTTTTCGTAACCCTATGGTTCAAAACAATAATAGATGTCACTGCCGTTTCCACAGCTGTCCGTATATCTTTCCAATCAACATCTGGGTCAGCCTCGTTTTCAGAACTACCTAAGTGTGACCTCAGTTGTTCCTGGAACCTACTTTTGGTTTTCTCGTTACTTAGTTCAGTTCTAATGGGTCTTTTTAATGTGGCTTTTTTGCGTCCAGTGAGGCGCAAGCAGATGCGTGCTTGTATTAGGGCATGGTCGGAGTCCAAGCAGGTACTCCAGAATGAGCGACAATCTTCTATCGACCCTCTCCAACGATGACTGATGGCAATATGGTCTATTTGAGTCCATCGTTGATTTGGTGCAAGGGGACGTCATGTTAGACGGTGTCTCTCCTTATGCTCAAAATTTGTGTTTGCTAAAAATAAACGATTGTCTGAGCACAGTTGCAGCAGATGATCACCATTATCTGTTCGCTACGCCGGAATACTAATATACCCACCTAAATGTCTTTCTGTTTGGTTTAAGCTATTTTCTTTGGTATTAAGGTCACCTGCTACGAGTACTATGTCTAAGCGTTTAGCTTTCTGAAAAAGTTCAGAGAGTTTTCTGTGAAAGTCATCTTTCACTTCATCCGGGCTGCAGTCAGTGGGAACGTAGACACAAACGACGAAAAGGCAACAACGTGGGTCTCCACCCTTCCGACTTCTTACGGAGCCGTTTAGCCGAGCAGCACATAGACGATGGTTAACGGGGATCCACACTAATAGCGCTTGTTCAGCCCTCATGCTTAGTGCTACGCCTAAACCTTCCAGTCCACGAGAACTAGCCATCGGGTCACCAAATACACGGAGGGTGTATCTCGTCCACTCTCGGTTTTGCCGAGGTGAGGTCAAGTGAGTGACCACGCTAGGATCCTGCATGCGTGTTTCGGAGACACAGCATACATCAATGGTACGAGATTCTAAGGTTTTAGCCAAGGGAGCCTGCTGACCGATTTGATATAGTGTGCGTACGTTCAAGGCTCCAATGTGTAGTTATGAGCAAGGTTTCAGTAGACCTGGGACAGTATTTTGCGCACTAGAATCGTTGGCTATGGTGAAACTTGAGGGGGAAACGAAAGGAGGAAGTTTAGGTTTGAAAGTCGATGTAGGAGGAATAATAGGAATTGAAGAGGGAGGTTGACTATGAATACAGTCGTCTTGAGTGCTGTTAGAGGTATGAGGGCGGTTATTACTTCCCGGTTGTTCCGGCCAGTATAGCTCAGTTGCTTCATCACCATAGGCAAGCCCGACCACCACGTCAAGGTATCAACAACGGTCGGGATGTTCTAATAGGGTGTGGTATGTACACACGTACCAAGTTCTACGTTGCGACTGACTGACAATCTAACCAGAAACTCATGTTATAAACAACTTACTGTTAGATTGACTTTCAAATCAGTTTTGTCATCACTGCATGCATTGCTGTCCACTTGATTTGTATTTTCATCAAAACTCAATGTTATCAAATTATTCAAAGGTCTATATTAAGAAGCAAAAAGATTCAAACACAGGTATAAAGTGAGTTTCATAAAGACGGTATCACATTCATTCCAAGTGCTTAAATTATCGAAAAAATGCTTAAATAACCGCGTAAGTTTGTTCTGATCTGCGACAACTATTGCATGCTTTTCGAATTTCTAACCGGTGCACTACGCAAGAGAGTACCGAAATCTGTGCTACAAAAACAAACCATATATATATATATATATATATATATATATATATATATATATATATATATATATATATATATATATACGTAAAAGTTCTAGACTGGAATATGTGGAAGGTGACCACCTAAGCTGGATAAACAACTTACTCATTAGTAATAAAGGCAGGATTATTTCTATTCCTTATTTATCATTTAGTTTTGTAACAAAAAAAGCATCTATCCGTAGATTAAATAACATATCAAAGTGTTTACGAAAGAACGGTCAGCAAATAGTTTTGATAATATGAACTTCGTGTCACTGTTGACATTTTGATGTTTAGTTCCTAGTACTGATTCCATTTAATTAGGTTTTAACCTATTGACTGACTTTTAACTTTCTACGACAACTCATTCCATGAAACGTAAACACAAGTGAAGAATCACGTATTTGTAGGCTAGAATTGCCACAATAACGTCAATGTTAAACAAAGCTGAACTTTCGAAACAGTTCTACCAAAAATTATTGTTTAATGTATAGTTGCTAAATACTGGAATTATTGTGTCTTTGTACTTCCCCAGTTGTAAGCTTTCGCTTGTCTCATAAACTTTTGTTGTATTTTTAACCTTTCTCAAGTTATCGTTAACTATTATTTATTCGAACACAAAAATATTGGTACAAGGAGGCACCAAATATATATGCGCCACACAAATCTCATTTGATTTGTGTGAGGGCTGTGATACTGCCCAGGTGTCCAAACCGAAGCAGGTGGTTTTCTTAGGGAGCCACACCCCGAGCCTTCGACCTGAAGATCTGATCCACAAGGCAGTGGAGCATCGTGAGGAGATGCAGTCCCATGGTAGCCGGTGACCAACGATCGGTTCATACGCCATTTGTTCCTTCAGGATACTGGAGCCAGCCCATGTGCACCATTGATTTGGGATCCGGTTAAAGGGCCGGACATTCGCTTTTTGTCCTCTCATTTTCGAAAACATCACCCCCGTCACGAGAAGGCAGTGAGTAGGACTTCCCTGCCAGAGGCTATATACGCGTGGCCGTGTAAGAGCATTTCGAGAGGGAGAGCGGAATCTCCCTACTCTCGGCCATACCAGGGCATTACAAACCTAAGTTTCATTCCACATGTGTTCTCATCCTACTTTTGTTGTCAGGATGTGAGCATATGAAAACAGGACACTGATAAATAAGCGTTAAGATTATCGTGACCTCAATCCACGGTTGATCTCACCAGTCAAAGTGAATTATTGGGTCAAAGCTTAGGAGCCTAGGCTATAGACGAAACAATACAGATGGTAAAGAGAAATATTACACGATTCTTATTGACTAATCATGTCAAATGATATCGATCCAATGTTGATTTGTCATTCATTACAAAAAGAAACCCTACATTATAATTATATGGCATTTCACACAGCTGAAATGCTTGAATACATAAAAACTTCCCTGTATTTCAAAGATTTTAGTTAGTAACAAGAAGAAAATGAACAATTAACCAGAAGTGCTCACGAAAGTTGAAATATTTCACAGCGTTACGACATAGCATTTTAGAAATTGTGATTTTTCAATTGATCAAATTTATATTTCTATACCAATGTATTGGCTGTTTTAAGCTTTTTCTGAGGCTTATTGGATATGAAAACTAGTCGTCATAGAAAACAGAGTTGTATTCACTTTTGAGATAAGGTGATGGTTGGAGGTGGTCCACCGCTGAGTAGTGACCATTAAATTGAAAACTTTTGAAATAATAGCACTGTGAAATTTGAATGTTTATTTATGTATCAATAATTAGTAACCTCTCAAGCTGTAGGATCTAATAAGTATGAATGCTATAATAAATCAGCAAACAAACTAATAACCATCCCAATCAAACCAGTTGTAAATATTTTGATGTTAATCATGGAATGAATGGTATGGAACGCTGTGAAACTGACGATGTAACAAGTGTACTATCAAAAATGCACGATTCAATCATTTTAATCAGAAATCAATGTTTTTAGATAGTCTTATCCACAAAATTTACAAATTTAGCTAATATGAAATAAATCTTTAAAAAACATACACAGAACTCTCCAACGCTTTATGACGTAATGTTGGTCGACTCTTAGTCGATGACTTTTCAATTCGACGCTTTTTCCATTGGTTAACAACTTTTATAAGTTGTGATGGTGTGGATCGTTTGACAGAATGTTGAAGTCCCATAGGCAAAGAAATGTATAAAATTGATTTGAAACGACTTAAATAACTGAACCTGCTTGAACACATATGTCTAAAATCATCTAAGATTTTTTGAAAAGGAGACATCACTTCCATTGGGAATGAAAATGGATTCAGTGAAAATATACTAAGACGTTTGAATAAAGCATCTGGTAAATCAGTCGAGTGGATATTTAATTCTGCTTCAGAAGCAAATGAACCATTTTGTGAACATGGGAATTTTGGCACTGTATATCAGCAAACAAAAAAAGCAACTATGAGTAAATTAATGTTGGCTACAAAAGAAATTAAAAGACTAAAATACGTGCGTTGTTAGCTAAGTATTGATAATAGAAGTGCAGAAATATCTGAGTTATGGTAAAATTTAAACAGGTGACATGTAGGTAGCTAATCTAACGCTCTATTTAACTGACCTGTGACACTCACCTATTAAGTAGACGTCAAATTTCAAAAAATGTATGAACAATATTCTTCTATCACATTTGTGATGATCATGATTCATGAATTATGAGAGGTGAAAGTTTTGATGAACTCTTAGATGTCATCTTGAATCAATAACGTTGGTTGATTCGACTAAAGAATATATATATATGCTCGCGAAGTAGTCATTTAAGCAATGTTGAAACTAATATTGAAACTTTACACCAATGGAAAGTATCAGATTCCTTAAATATTTATATGCATTTAGTAAACTTCATTGTATTCGGTACGTATTCAGCAGTGGAATTCAGAACGCATGCTACATCCTACTCAGGACCTGTCAGTGAGAGTAACTTACATTCTAATGTTGATGTTTACACTAAGACTTGAACTTAATAATATCCGCTTGACACACACATCATGTTATGATCTAGTAAACTACAAATTGTTATTAATAATCATTGAATAAACTTTGGAACTTGAGAAAAACAAATCCCATCCGAATGCAACAAGAAATAATACGATTATACTAAAATTTATATGTCGTACAAAAAAATAATAATGAGTTCGTTCTATAATCAGACATATGTTTCAACGTATTTACCTAAGCATACAATTATTTGGTGCCTAGCCTGACATAGTTGGAACTAAGCTAGATCAGATTAAGCGACCTGATATTAACTGTATATGTACACTTCTTTTTTAACTATCGTTTAGCTGAATATATTCAATTCACAAGTCAATTCTATAACTTAGTTCAACAATCTATACTCCTCGCAAGTTACTTATTGTTGGGCATAATTGCAGAGAAATTTGCGAAGTATATCTCTCAAAACCTCGGACATTTTTTTACCTGAGCATAGTGAAAGTGTGGTTTAACTGACGACCTCCAATGACTTGCATAACCTTGAGAAAGCGAAGCCAATCAGAATGGTGATATCGATGAGTAAACTGTCACATGAACACCTACCACAAAAATATATATATTAGGGCTAAAATCAGGAGTTCATGTTAGAATTCCGTTTTAAGATTTGGATTTTAAATTATAAGTTGAGTTTAGGATTGAGAGTTGGTATTAACCGGTTGGGAACAGCGTGCATCAATCTTTACAGTACCTTGAAAAACTCCCAAATCATGTAACAATGTTATAAACACTAATTGCTTTTTATTCACTACTATCTTTTCCATGAAAAAAACTAACCACTTTATCATGGTCATTGTAAGAATCCGTCAAGTTCATTCTTATTCTTTCGTCTTCTAATATTTGATAATTCTAAGCATCTTCATGACTAATTACTGACAGGTTGAACTTAGCTCTTGATAGAATACAAGCTATCCGTCGTTGAGTTTTTAATTTCGCAGGAAAACCCAATACCACTATCACAAATAACACTGGTCCATCAATCAAAGAATACCTTGACGCACAACATTCAAAGTATCAAGTTGGAAAACATTACAACCATCTATGACAGGATTACAAATCAGTTTCAGATAAATGAAGATTTTCGGTGCTTAAAATGAATTTCAAAGTGAACCAGAATATTTATGTGATTTATAGCAAAGTAATCCCATAAATATGTAGAATTTTTATCTTCACATGTAAGTAGGAATTATTAATTTTCAAATAGAGCTATAATATATTCTGATTGACTGTTTTCTAGATGTCTTTGGATTGTTCCAAATATTGATCGACAATTAATTTGAAATTAATATCTCATAAAAAGCGAATAATCGTCAAAAGATCTGCTTCGAAACACCTAGCTTCCATCTACTTGTTATCAACAACTTTAAACAAACAAATATAGATAACATAAAAAGTTTCTTACATGACCATAATTTTGCAAATCGATTAATTAGATATCCAACCATTTCACGAGTTTGCTTCAGTGTATTAGGATGTTTTACTTTAGATAACAAAAACAATGGAGCAATAGAGTGTTCATCAAAGTTTTCTGTAATACCACATCCACGTCGTGAACATAAACGTGAATTCAATTGAATAGCAGCGGCCAATGCTAAAAATACACCTATTTTTTCAGTAGCGATTTTATTCGCATTTCGAAGTTGTGCAATTAATAAATGAGAATTCTTATTAGAATTTTCACTCTTCTTGCTAGTATTAATAAAGTTTAAAATTCTGTCTAAACTAATTTGAAAAATAATGATAAAGCATGAAAAAGAATTATAAAAATTTAGTAAACGATTTACTTTTTTACGAATAATAATATATGCCACACAAAATATTTATCACTCAATTTGTGTGTAAGCTAGGATATTGTCCGGGTGCCCAAACCGAAGCAGGTGATTTTCTTAAGGAGCCACTCCCAAACATTTGATCTAGAGGTCTAGTCCAAAGGCAGTGGAGCAACGTTAAGCGATGCGGTCCCACGGTAGCTGATGACCAAGAATGAATTCATACGCCATTTGTCCCCTCTGGACAGTGAGTCGTTACGCAGCATAGATTTGAAATCAAAGTTAACCAACTACCCTAGGTGGATCCTCTATACCCAGCAACCCGACTTATGAGCCAGAAATTGGCTTTTCGCCCGCTGCGAGAAGACAGTGGCTATATACACGTGGTCATATGGTCATTTCGAGAAGAGAGAATCCTCCTCACCCTCAACCGTATCAAGGCATTTGGGTGCTATAGATATACAATCTTTTGGTACAGATAAAGTTCGTTCAACCTCTTAATTTAACATGGTCTTCGTCTACTTAGCTACTGCGTTTCCTTTTATTCAAATTTAATTTATTACTTCATCTACATGATCTAACTACTTCAATGATCTGATCAACTGATTTTATTTGCATCCGCTTTTTAATTAGTAATTTTACCAAATAACACTAAATATTTATACTTAATTGCTTAGTTCTCGAACTTACTTAATTCTTATTCTTAAGTAATAAACTTAAAATAATTAACCGACGATATAACCTTATGTTTAGATCTGATTTTACATCTGTTAAGTTGCTAACTGATTACTGTTTTAGAGAGGACACCGTCGAATTAACCAACCGACATTTGGTAGTTGGTATTGATTTTAGACTTGATTACTAAACTTATATTTCAGTGTAAAGCCTTGAAATAAAGAATTAATTGAAAAGAAATATTTCTTCGCTTAACTTTTCATGTCTCGGTGGGAACACATACTGAACCATACATGTGTCAATAAAAGTAACTTCGTACTTGTAAATATATATGTAACGAAAGAGGCCTACTGCATTACTGGAGAAAATGAAAACGTCTTAACTAAGGGATGCCATTTGCTTAAACTGTACAACCGTATTTATAATTACCAGGTGATTAGTGGTGATTGACAGGAAAACCTGGATCCCGATTTCATGATACCCGGCATTGGTCACGTGCAGAGATGAACAAATAATCGTTCACGATTGTCTAAAGAACCAGAAGAATTGGCTTAAATGTTTGGATCAGCAACTTTTACGTGGCTAAGGCCACAGCAACCTATCAGCTCAAATCTGATCTTTACATACAAGAATTCTATTCAATGTCGTTTACAAATATCAAATACACTGAATGTTATACAATTATTCAGAGCTAAAATTGGAAATTATATTTTTCTAAGATAACAGGATATTTAACTTTTCCACTGAGTGTTGAGTTCTTTTCTGTAACGACATCTCTGAGTCCACTTTATTTTAAATTATATTTTCGTATGACCTATTTACTCATCTCTGATTGGTTGTTTCCAAAATCCCTATGCTAATCTCCTGTGTTCTGGAGTCGTTTTTGTAATTTTCTGATGCCCTGCGAATATATCATGTCTTATCGCCAATTAGAACACCGACTTGTTGATCAGACTAATGACGTATAAACCAGTACGAAAGACATAGAGTCAATCAGAGTTCTTACTGCTCCACCGAAATATTAGCTTCTCGCCTAACCCATCCAGTTTAATCTAAAACACCGATATCAGCCTCCTTTATAAAAATCATGATTTTCAGAAATGCTTCGTTTATACACAAGCAAATCAGAACCCATTATATCATAAAACAGAAAATAACAACCATACTAGATCAGGCACAATAGTGGCTGTGATTGTGAGATACTGTAACTAATGCATTCAGAATAACTTACATACGCCTGTAATTCCTCGTGAGGAAGCATGGATCACCCACCAGCATTCTTCATCGAACTCTGTCCTGGACAATCCTTTCCAGTAGTTTCCAGTTGCTATTCATCCTTTTGATATCTGCTTCTAACTTCCGGCGCAGTATTGTCTTTGGTCTTCCTCTTATCCGTTTCCCTTTAGGATTCCAAGTGAACACTTGTCTCGTGATTCAGTTTGGTGATTTCCGCAACGTATGTCCTATCCACTTCCAGCATCTTTTCTCAATTTCCTCTTCAGCTAGAAGCTGGTTTGTTCTCTCCCATAGTAGGCTGTTGCTGATGGTATCCAGCTAACGGACGTTGCGTAAACAATTGTTTATGACTACCTGTACTTTCTTGACCATGGTTGCAGTAGTTCTCCAAGTTTCAACTCCGTACAGTAGAACTGTCCCGACATTCGTGTTGAGGATTCTGATTTTGGTGTTGGTTGACAGTTGTTTTGAGTTCCAGATGTTTTTCAACTGTAGGAACGTCACTCTCGCTTTATCGATCCCCACCTTTACATCTGCATCGGATCCTCCTTGTTTATAGATGATGCTATTCACCTGTTCCAGAGCTCCTTCATCAAGTACGATTGGTTTGGTGTTCTCTGTATTGATTTTCGATATCTTGTTTTTTCCCTTGTGTATGTTGAGGCCTACTGATCTAGAGGTTTCTGCTACACTGGCTGTCTTCACCTGAATTTGTTCGTGTGTGTGAGAGAGATAGAAGAGCTATGTCGTCTGCAAAATCCAGATCGTTTGGATGCATCCAAGCTGTCCATTGTATTCCATGCTTACCCCAGATATAGAGGTCTTCATAGTCCAGTCGACCACCAGAAGAAAGAGAAAGGGGAGAGTAAGCATACTTGTCTGACTCCGGTCCTCACTTGGAATGCATCTATCACCTTTCCTCCATGCACAACTTTGCAATGAAGTTAGTCGTATGGATTCGGGATGATGTTCACGACCCTCTCAGGTGTCGAAAAAGAGTCCGTAACGTTCTCCCATTCATGCTGTCAAACGCTTTCTCATAGTCAAGGAAGCTGATATATAATGACGAGTTCCATTCAATTGATTGTTCAACGATGATCCGTAGTGTTGTGACTTGGTCTCTGCACGACCGATCCTTATGGAATCCAGCCTGTTGATCTCGAAGCTGGTAGGCGTCGACTGAATTTTTCGTTCGACTCAACAACACTGTTGAGAGGGTTTCCTGGTGCTGACAGTAGTGTGATGCCTTCACAGCTGAGTTCTCATACTTGCTGAGATCTCCTTTATTGATTTATTGACGAGGTGTCCTTTTTTCAGTCTAATTGATAGGTCTTTTTGGTCTCCCACCGTTGGATCCCGGTTTAGTGGTTTGGAGGCTTAGTGTCTGTGCTCGAGTGGAAACCCTGGGTTCGAGTCTCAGATGCATGTTTGTGAATGGTCACCGATAAGGAGTACTAGACTAGGGAAAAATGGTTGACTGGTACTTCCAGGCTTTCAATGGCGGTCTAAATATGATTGGTGCGCAAGCTGACAAGTGAAATAATTCCTTTGAAGGAAAATAATTACACAAAATATTCAATACATTGGTGCAACATACCATGTTAAAAGATCTAGAAATGCGCCAGACGACAAATCAGATAGATTTGGTAATGGCTGTCCACAAACCAACGAAGAACAAAATCGATAAACCTGTGCATAAGGTAAATATATAGGGTCTGGATCTCTTTTATTGATTTTACGACATTCTACACTTTCCCACGTAGAAGCTCTCTGGAGAACCTGAAATATGTTACAAGAGGATTTCACAATACTAGTTATGAATACATTATGACTAATGACTTCTTACGACGACTTTAATGTTTTACCCTTACAATTCTTAGTTGTTTGCAGGAAAAATACCCCCACAACTGGCTATACAGTACATTTCAGTAGACTTTATTAACTGATTAAGATGTCACAAGTTCAACCAATAAGTCGCAGATTGGGACCATCCTTGCCTCTCCACGTACTACGATTTGGGAAACCGAGTAGCAGCATTTGTGCTTCAAAACCAAGTACACAAATTTGTATCTTGTAAATGATTCAACAATATATAAGAAATAACACCAATGACTTTTACATATTTTAGGTTTGAGTGGAAAGTCTTTAGTTGTAAGAAATGGTCATCTTACATACTCTTTGCAGGTGAACATTGTCAAAAGATCTATAGTCCAACGGATTTCAATGCTATATCCTAGCTCTACTTATTGGGATATTACAGATACAAAGTTTTGATCATAAATGTCAATAACTTTTAAAAATACAGATTGAATAGAAAATGATCATGAGGCTTTACCAATAGACTATGCTAGGAGTGTGACCCAGCTTATTATTGGAAGCGTTAATTATGAAAATCTAAGCTCAGTTCAGGCGAAGATACAAACGGAGGTAAAAGTAGAAGTCTTGGTGAAGTGTCTTGTTATTCTCCCAATCATATCAATTTTTAGATTATTTATCAAGTACAGGATTATGCACTTAATTTTCGATCAGATTTTTTGGTGAGTTATGATAATTATACTACTCAGTTTCTTGAACCAAAGTAAACAGGAGACGCAGTCCGAACTGACGACTGAATTACTGGGAGTTGGATGCTTTAACTATTAAGCCACCTACTTATTACAGTAATAATTAGATAAAAACATGAGAATATGCATTGCCATGTAAACGACATACTTCATTTAATGCCATACTATAATTATAGTATTCAGTACAGCTGTGTCTAGTTACTTGTAATAAAATCTGTGTAAATAAAAAATCTGGTATTAAGTAATGATGGGAATTCTACATCAATTGATCCTTCAGGTTTAACTTCCGGTACAGTAATTTGTGGATCTAAAACAATAAAAATTATTACGTTTAAAAGTACTGGTTAATACAAATTATTGCTTACCCTGTAAATTCTTCTCATCCACGTCCATAAGGCAAGCTATAAGTTCTCTAATCTAAAAGTTAATCAGAACTCTAGTGAATCAAATAAAGGTTGCTTAGTAATATAAAAAAAGCTTTTAAAATTACATAAAATAATAACCTAGTAGAATATCATTAACAACCAAAAATGTCCTCACGTAAGCTTTAAAAGGATTTCGTAAATTCTTTTCCAGTTAATTGTAAGTATACTCCTATTCCCCGGTTCTCAATGTTTTTTGTTCCTTATGTTTTTTTGCTGTTTCGAACTCAACTTCAATGACTAATAATAATATTAAGTAAAACTTTATAATATCGTTACTAACTGTAACTAGGCTACTATCAGTTGATGAGCACACTCCAAATATGATGAATTCCCTTTATTCTGTAAATCTTGTTGTGTTTAATTTGTTTAAATTCATTGAATAACTAGGTTCTCAACTTACTGTACAAACCAAAGTTTTTTAATTAGACCCAGGCTTTCAGTACAGAAAGAAACTAAACGCTGAAAAACGATCAGCAGATAGTATTAGGTTAATATTTCGAGCTTATCGGTGGTTATGAGTAACTGTTATGTCAACGAAATCTATGCTTCCTCTAAAACTCAAGGATCGGTAGAAATGTAACAACCTGTAAGTACATTTTTAATTGTAGTACAAATTATGAACCTTACTTTTAAAGAGCGATTTTTTTTCCAGACACTCAATAATGATAGGTTTGAAAATCATAATAGGGATTTCCTACCAACAGGTTGAAATATACTGGACATCAAGTATAATTAATCTGAACGTTATTAGTTCAGAAAATGCACTTTATTCAGCGACCAGTGGATTACAATCAGAGTTTAATCTAAAAACTCCGACTAAAATAGTCGAAGAACTAATTCTAAAAAAAATATATTTAATAGTTCCCAAGGATATTACAAAAACCGATATTATTAAAGAAGCGTATTCAAAGTATAAAAACTTACCTCTGTTTTGTTTTTTGTCTGTATGAATTCAGCCAATTCACGTGTTGAAAAAGAACGATCTCTAATAGAATCGCTATTTAAATTGAAATTAGGACTAACCTTTTTAACGCACTTAGTAATAAACATAATTCAGAATCTGACCATTCTGATGTAATATGATACAACTTTGTTAAAGGTGGAAGCATTGAGTATAATTTATATAAGATTTATCTTATGTTTTCAATGTTGAAATTACAAAATACCAGTCATCTATATGAAATTTCCGAGGCCAATAAGATAAAACAAATTCTTTATACTTGGTCGTGAAGTGAAATAAATGAAAAGTAGATTACAAAAGACGAATGAATACATTTTTTAGTGTTCAAATTATACATGACTAACAGAATTTTAAACCCAATATTACTTTAAAATATAAGTGCCAAAATAACTCTGTAATGTGTAAAGTTAGGAAATGGTGATAAGACCAGGATACTTAACAGAACTCAAAAAATATGCATATGACATCCGCGAGATTAAATGTTAATTAGGGTGGGTAGTGATCACTTATTCCGATTAAATCTAGTTGAAAAATACATTTGATTTATGTATAAGCCTGTAGTTTCAAAAAACGGTAACACTGGAGATTGTAGAGAAATAAATTTATAGTTTAGAAGATACCAGTGCTTAATAAATTTGTTTGATCTAAGAAGAGTAAGCTATAAAGTACGTAGAGATTGGGACAAGTGTATGTTCGTCCGAGTTTCTGATAGTTAAATTCAAACAAATTTTTGAATAAATAACAATTGCTTATATAAATTTTTCTGTAAGTCGAGCCGTACTTTTAACCATAATTTCTAACCCTGACCGTTTTTCATCTACTACAAGAAATAATTCAACGCGTAAAGGTCCTTTATTTATGTCAAACTGTTTGCCGGTGGTAATTTTACTGTTTGTTTGTATTAAACTGTTTTATAACTAAACACTTCTAATTGAAATGCTGTCGAAGGTCTGCTGTATCGTTTGTTTTTACCCAGACGTATCACCGAATAATGAAAGAAATGTCTACACATTTAATTTGACTTGAACAAATGCAACTATTTCCTTAGGTGTGTTGTGCACTAAAGTTTGAATCTCCTACATGTTAATCAAATTTTACCTAGACAAAATATCCGAAATACGTAAGAAACCGTATATGATTAAGCTTAAACTAGAAAAACTATACGTTCAACAACCTCGTCGATAAAGAACGATCAAAAACTGAACCCTATAATGATAACTAAGCAAAAAACGTCGAGAATCTTCGTTGAGGCTGTTGTAGTTACGTAGGGTAGTTTTTCAGAAAGACTGCAAATTTCACCATAGAAGACAAATAACCTACACCAATAGAAACTATTCATCCTGTTGTTTGTGGATAATATTAAAATGTTGAGAGTTTATCACCCGTACCTGCTGATTAGACACAAAAAGGGCGCTGGTACTTGTTTTCTTCGTTGAGTATATCCTTTAGTATTGTTTGTATCCAAAGGTGTTAAGGCCTTTTTATAACTATTGGAGTCGGGTTTCTTTATTGTTGTTAGGTACAGTAATATACAAACCTCTGTCTTTGCTTGTATTCAGTGTTTATCACCTATCAAGCCTTAAAACACATCTTTTCTAGAGATCCCTTTTCGCTGCTTTTTTTCCTGTGAGATCACAAAACAAATTTACAGCGCAAGAAAAACATCGTCATGGCAAACCTGCATGCTATTTCCCGGTCGACGATGGAATGCAATGTGACAACTGAAATAAGTGGTATCCTAATGTGTGCACCGGACTCACACTGGCTGCAGATAAAAGGTGCTACAAGCCACTATAATGTTGGCTGTGCAAATCATACTGTTCTACAATGTCTCTGCTGATTCTTGAGGCGATTGAGTTGCTGAACATAATTAGAAAATTGCCCTCAGATAAACAGGCAGCAGATGAGCTAAATTCAGTTTTCGAGGAAATGGTGAGTGTTATCATTAGTCCATCTTTGGATTTGAATAAGACCATCAAGGTGAACCCCATTAGAAAAGTGGATAACAAGCATACAGGTGTAGGCATTGTTATTAAGAAAAAGAAAAAGCACGCTAAGAAACAAACTATAAGCAGCACGAATATATGTGAATCTGCGGTCTCAGTTTCGGATTTACATATCAACTTAAAAGAGAATATGGGGAGCAAAGTCTGAGCGGTGTAGATGATGTGATCAAGAGACAAGTCAGTTTAGTAAAAGTGCCGAAGTGGAAACATCCCTGTGGTAATCTACACCACAACACAGCAAATGAAACAAGCCTGTCTAAAGTTAGTGACCGTAAGCACTTAGGAGTTACAGTAAGCAATGATTTTAGAAATGTACAAAGCACTGGTGTGATTTTTGTCAGTTCCCTAACCTTGTGAAAAATTAGTAAGGCATTTCGAAGCTCAGACAACATACTTGAAATAATGTGCCAAATGTACGTGAAACTGCATCTGAAATATGGATTTTGAAAAATGAGCCAATCTACAACACATCTTAAAGGTTCTTGAAAACCCCATAAGCTGAGATCATAACTTAACTCCAAACGAGTGGCTAGTAATACTGTGGTTATAGTTTATGGACGATCTTTAGGTGGTATTCGTTAGATTTTTAAATTCAACTAATTGTTAGAGTCAAACGATGTATAAAAAAGTGGGTGAGACTATAATTATAGACTACCTTTGAGCGACGCTAGTGATCTTGAATATATTCATCTAATGACTAGCACCAAATAGGGGTTATAAATCAGTGTGAGGAAATGGAATTATGATTTGCAGTTGATGGTAAGGGTTAAGAATTAGACCAAGAGTTTTCATCACGAACTGACATCAGCTACGTCGCCAAAGCTGCATTTAGCCATATGAATGAATTTCGCGCGAAAATCCAAGACCTGTTATCCTATATCTCATTGGTTCGGTTGGGAAAGTTCTCCAATACTTCCCCAAAACCCTAAAATTTACCCAGAATTCCCTAAAATTTGCCCGAAATAGGGAGATTGGGTCAATTTACCCATTCGAACCATTGAAGACATTTAAAACAGAAGTACTCACCATCCAGCTACATTATACCAAACTTCCGAAATTAAACAACGAAAAGTACAAATAGCCAATAGGTACTAAGAGCCATTCGAAATTTCAGAAAACAAATACACAACTCGGTATAGAAAAATTCCAGAAACTTTCAAAGCCTACCGCCGTTGGTTGCAACGACCTTGAACGGCCTGATACAGGCGGTAATTCCGTGTTTAAATTGTGTAATGGCGTTAAAATCATAATGTATACTGTTGTTAATAGATTCTGTTTTTCCTTCTATTGCAGGGAGACCAAGAACAAATGCTTAAGAGGAAGAAGAGCAAGCTCTGCAGGCACTGAGCCCACAGGATGACTCATAAAACTTTTTTGTAAACTAGCTCCCCCTTCTGCACATAACCTGTGAATTTCAATTTTAAAATAAACAACTGGTGGTTTTTATTCCGTGTTCTTTCTGTGGTTTGAAGTGCTCGGTTACCATTGTGTGTGTTGTGGTTTCAGATCTTCTCGCCTTTCTGTGACTGTTGATTACACGTGTTACAATTGCTGTGGGTTTGTTGGGGGTCCGTTGGGTTGCACGAACATCAGGTGTTCTCATATTTACGTGGTCCTTTGCTGCACCAAAACTAAAAAATCATTACGAAGAACATCGCAATAGCTCTCTGTCTAGTAGTGCACACGTATGACCGGTTGTTGCTTCTTAACTGCCCATCTGTTTATTTCGGGGAAACTTTTGTCCTATTTGAGTAAATTATGGGTATAATTTTGGTAGAAGGTGTTCTGTTCTGTTTTATCGGAAGCAGAAAGAATTAGGAGCAGATGTAACCTGGATCGTGGATAAACTGGGACATGCCGGTGTCCTTGTCGTCAGATGCTACAGGTATACATATGAAGACGAACTCTTACAGGTAAATTCAATCATCACTGCAGTCGAAAGAAGATAAATAACACTCACAACTTCCATACTGACAACAATTTCACTACCAAGACGAGGTAAACAGTATGTACAGATTGGACGAAGCCAATTTTTACTTAATGATCATCAATAAGTAGGTAAGTCTGTAGTTTCTTTAACGCTTGTCTTTGTGTAGTATTCTTCACGATAAAAACCATGGATTGGAATACAACAAAGTGTGAAGATGTGTCAGGAGCCGTTTGTTATATGACGTTCCTTGTTTTATTTTTAACATAGCTACTTATTAAACTTTTTTTCTGCATCAAATATTGCTCTACCTGTAACAGTAGTAATGATGCACCAATAAAATTTTGCTCAAAAATTATTGTCGTCCCCTTAGTTTCATAGGGAGATATTAAAGACAACTAGGTGTTCTCTCTATAAGTACCTGTTTCGTTACTTGTGGTACTCCATCGATTTAGATATTTCGCTGGAGTGTTTCGTCATATTGAAAATGGTTGTGGACGGAATGAAAGAAGCATTCGCTTAACGGTCTTCCGTGTCTAGTAGCAGTGGATCACCAATACCTTGTAGTGTGGTGTCGAGTCGCGATTGACTATGAACACCACTATAAGAAGACTACGTTCCAGTCAACCAATAAGATTCCCGTAGGTCAATATCAGAAGGCAGATGATGGCTGTAGTCGAGATGTATTTGCTGGCGATCTCGTGGTATCGAAAGAATATCGAGATCGTGCCAAAGGAATACAAGCGTGGTTACTAAACGCAACCGAATTCGTACAAGTTCAAAGTCAACGGGAGAGTGAGAGTAACGGCTGTCATCAGAACAGTAAAACAATCACTGGTACAATTGGTTATAATAATAATTGTTTTCATTGAACCAATCGTCTTCTGTTGACAAAAGTAGGTCACTACACCCTCCAGGCAAGAACCTAGTTATATTAACGATAATAGAGGAAAAAGAAGCTGGTAAATCATGGTAAGATATTATCCTTAGTCCTTAAGAATAGCTGTAACACAGGATACGAGCTTAACCATCAAGACTATTTTGCAAATAACACAATTCATAGTCGGCCTGTACCAGACGTTTTGGAATACGACCGTTGAAGCATATAACTGAAATCATTTCAAACCACATACAGAACATAAACTTGCTTCCCCCGTACAGTTTCCATCAGAGAGTACTCCCACCCTTCCCTTCTTGGTAAATTTCTTAATCAACTTCACTAGCTTGTTTGTTACATCTCCCACTAACTCTAGCTTCCGAAATGCCGAGCTATTGAAGAACATTCAATACCTCACTTTAAACCCATATCACACCCGCGAGGGTACGACCAATTTATTCGAAATACCCACACCCATTTTAACTTAGTAGGCCATTTGTTTAATATATATCTTATCAACGCAAGATCGATCTGCAACAAAAAGTCTGAGTTAGCCCTGTTTGTATCAACCATGTGTGTGATATGCCTGAACTAAACAAACTGAAGGATTTGGTGTGGATTGTTTCAAAGCCATCGAATTCCGTAACTTTACTGTTTGGTTGTGTCTACCGTCAACCTAACGCATCAACAGGTGAAATAGCAGTTTTACGGAGGTATTAACACTAGCATCATCCCTTTCATTCACGGGCAAGCTTATTGGTGGTGACTTCAACATGCCCGAAATTTCTTGGTTCCCAGTTAGGGCGCCGAAAAATTATGACCGATTTATTGAATGACTAGATCTCTGACAATAGACTCAGTATGTCAGTAGCCCCACCAGACATCGAAATATCTTCGACTTAGTGTTTACCAGTGCCTCACCCCGAATACTGTATATATTGTAAAAACGTTCCCAGGTAGTGACCATAACATTATCATATGTAGCCTTAATATAAAAACCACAACCGGTAGACGTAAAACCGTAACACTTCGTAGAAACTATCGCAAGGTTGATTGGAATAACTCTCACAATTTCCTGGGAAGCACTGATTGGGGAACTTTCTTCACTGCAAACAATACCGACACACTAACCAATATATCTTATCACAACATCAGAAATATCATCACTAAAATCGCACCTTTAGAATACTGCAGATCTACGTTCTCTAAAGACCTGTATATACCGGTCGGTACACGAAGACGTCTTTAAAGAGATTGTACTCAATTCCACAACTTGAATGACTTTTCCTCTTTAGTAACGATGACGGAAATATTTGTCCGAACAGAGGCATTACGTACACAAAAACAATCGCACAGAAAAAACGTGCAGTCGAACTTAATAATAACTTCTCTGTACTCACCATACTCTTTCAAAATAAACTTAAACTTTCTAAATCGAGAGGGAACATATTTATTAAAGAAGAACAAGTATACGAAGATCCTAAGCTTGTTACGGGACTTTTGTTTCTCGTTAACTAACGAAAAACCACTAAATGATTCAGAACCAATCCCAGTACCTCCTTGTGAAATTACTAATGTAGACTTTATTGTGCAAAATATCTCTAAGGCAATTAGTACATTGAAACGCTCCTACACCGATGGACCAGATGGTATTCCGGCTAGCATGATAAAACATGGTGATGATATGTGTGTTTCGCTTCTCACACTACATGCGATATCACTCTCTACAGCGTGTTATCCTACTGCCTGGAAAACTACATATATTCCCGAAATTGAAACAGGACCTGAAGCAAATGTCGACAATTACCGGCCTATAAACATAACTTCAGTGGTATTTAGAGTGGTGGAAAGTAGTTAAGACGGCGGTAGTTCAACGTTTCATCTAGACCTCCCAGCATGGATTTCCTAGGTTCAGATCATGCGATAAATACCTAGCAGACTACCTGAATGATATAACTCTGGAACAAGACAACGGATTCTTTGTATCAGTCCTATTCTTAGACTTTAAGAAAGCCTTTAATAAGGTCTCATATAAAAGGCTTCCCATCAAACCAAAGTCCTTCGGAATAGGCAACCAACTATATTCATGGTTTGCTTCGTTCTTAACAGAACGTAAACAGATAGTAAAGTACAATTACTGTTTCTCATCACCTAGACCAATAACTAGTGGAGTCATCCGGGGAAGCATATTAGGTCCACTCTTGTTTCTTATGAATATAAACGACATATGTAACATCATAAAATCTGGGAAACCATACTTATATGCTGATGATCTCAAAATAGTATACAGCTACAAGCCTGAGACTCTAAGTGAAAGTGTATCCCTGATTCAAAATGACCTCAATAACCCAGCTCTTACAGAACACGTGGTTTATCCTCTCCCATGATTCATTGATTATTAATCATGGCCTTATGCTGCTAACCTTCACTTTCAGTTTCCAAATCTCTCGAAAGGTTAAGTATACATTGTTCTTCCTAAGTGTCATGTCCATTTATTGCAAGTAGACAGACAACTCACTAATCCTATGAATGCTGATCAACCAAGGCTGATCATAAGAAGCTCAAAATGTCCTAAATTCATGTGAGTCGCTCAATGTTTTATTTTTCTTACCCTGAAAATTTTACAATCTTATGCTCTTTCATATTCTTTGATTTGCTATTAGTCCTTACCATCTTTACACCACAAATAATCTAGCGTGTGTATTTTTTAACTTTTACCATTAGTTGTCTTAATAGCAGTGTGATATACTAAATGGATGTTTAACCCATGATACAAATGCTTTAACTATCTGATTTGCTTGTAACATGGAACTAGTAGAGACAGTGTATTGCAACTATGGGCTTTAATCAAAGCAGTATTCATACTGACCACAAATGTAAGAGAGCCTAACATCACGAAAGGAGGGAGGGTGGTGTTGCTGACCAGCAAACATGATGGTGAGGAGATAACTTCAATCCACCCATGTTAGTAGAACAGAACATTTTGTTTAATTACAGATCCTTATGGTCTGGCGGAATGTCACGAACCAATGGTATTGATGCCAATTTATTACACAAAATACATCTTCAAATCATGTGTGTGACATTGAGTTGGTTTTACTTCCTACAGAGTAATCCTATTACAAGAAAAAGTAGACAATTTCCCCCATAAAATCAATAAAAAATGAGCCGAAATCGCTTCGACAAAAAAGGGCGACAGCCATTTGTGTGTCAGAATTCTGTGCTCAGCACTATATTTTATAACTACACATAATCCCATGCTTTCAGCTTCTTTGTGAACCACCTCTATTTGTCTGTTGCTTATCCACTAAAACTTTGTTAACACTTATTTTCTTTAACCTATTAGAATGCTCTTGCTCAATAAGTACCTTAATAAAAGAGAATTAGACTGAGTAG